ATTTCATGAACTCATCAGGTTTCTTATCCTTTCTAGTGTTTCATTGCCAAGATTATCTACTCCTCTCTTCTGAGTCAAGATACCTTCACCCGTTTCTCCCCCACAGACATACAGATACACTGCAATATACTCACAACAGAAGCATTTACCATATTAACAGCTGTTATTTTTTCATAAAATTGTAGAATGTTAAGGAGTTGGGGTGGACATTAAAGATCATCTAGTCCTGGCCCCCTAGCCATGAACAGGGACACCTCCCAATAGACTAGGTTGCTCAAGGCCTTATCCAACCTGGTTTTGAACACTGTCAGGGTTGGGGTGTGCATAGCCTCCCTGGGAAACCTGTGCTAGCGTCTCACCACCCTCACAAAGTAAACAATTTCTTCCTAATACCTAACCTACATTTCCCCTCTTTTAATTTTTACCCATTACTCATTGTCCTGTCCCTACAGTTGCAAACCAATAGTCCTTCTCTGGCTTCCCTCTAGATTCCCTTCAGGTACTGGAAGGTTGCTCTGAGGCCTTCATGAAACCTTCTCTTTCCCAGGCTGAACAGCCCCAACTTTCTCAGCCTGTCATTGTAGAGGAGGTGCTGCAGTGCTCTTATCAACTTTGTGGCCCTTCTCTGGACTTGCTCCAACAGTTCAATGTCCTTCCTGTGCTGGGGGCACCAGAGCTGGAGGCAGTGCTCTGGGTGGGATCTAGCCAGGGCAGAGGGGAAGAATCCCCACCCTTGCCTTTCTGGCCACACTGCTTTGGATGCAGCCCAGGATTCAGCTGGTGTTCTGTGCTGCCACTGCTCACAGTGGGAAACCCCTGTACACCACTATCCAACCATCAGCCCCAGAATTACCTCAGTCACCCTTGCTGCTGCTACTCTTGGCTCATCCTCTGAGGATTCAATAATTTCATCAGCAACAGGCTTTGCACTTTGCAGCTTTCCTTCATGTTTAGAAATATCCCACAGTACAACCTACATACAACATACAATGAGAAATAAGTACATTACAAATTGTACTTGTGTATGTGTACTTGTATGTGTATAAATGCACAGTGCATTAATACTCTCTACACTAGATTTTATGAAGTCTTTAAAGTATTTTCTCTTCAGTCTGATGCAATCAGAAGAAAGGTTACATTTGTCTCTAAAAAAAGTCTTTACAACTTGACCTATTTATCAGTAGTACAAAGAACCATCGTGCGGTAATGGCTCAGCTATGGACTAACCAGACATAGCTTCAGCCCAGGAAAAGAGAGCTTTAAGACTATGACATCTGTCTTCTGTCTCTATGTGTTACTATGGATGTTGAGTACATCTCTTCACCCTTATCATTATACTGGAAGAAAATACAGAAATATGCAATTTTATTTTTAAAGAGCAGCAAACCTGTCCATCGACACAGCCACCAGCAATGATGTTTGGATTACTTGGACTGAACTGAAAGCAGTAAATGTCTTCAGGAGCCTTCAACACCAGCTAGAGAGAAGAAAAACAAGATAGTTGAGAAATACAGTCACACCATTTTTTTGTTCTCATGTTATTTAAATACTTGGCATATTTAAAACTCTTGATTAAATACCTGGAGGCAGATAGGGTCAAAAAAACTCAAGATAAGTATAACTGACTGGTGTGGCAATGATTTATTAGAGAGGTTAACTTGCTCTTCATATGAAGGCTGCTCTCTTGCTGACAGTGCTATAATCCCTAATCAAAAGAGAAAATAAATTTTCTCAAAAGAGACAATTCAAGTTTCAACACATTGATAATTATTCTAAATTACTTATACCTTCTCAATACAGTGAGAAAAACTCACAAAGCAGGAAAGAAACCCTAAACAAACCAACCATGTTTCTTTCTTTTCAGATCAGCTTTGAGGACACTACTTTTGTTACTTAACATTAAGTTTTTTTAAAGTGAGTTATAGAGCCTATGCATCAGGATAAAACTCCTCTTTTTTTTGCTCGTGCTCCTCAGTGGTGCAATACTGCACCTGAAATGATGTGACAGTCATATAGTCCTGACCACCCATCATGAAGACAAATCTTTGTAACCCAATTCATTTTCTTGCCCAGGCTGCAGTATTGGCTGGTACTATGCTGGGAGCAGGGGCATTTATATAGAACTTAATTGTGCCATTAGTTCTGGCCGTGCAGAGCAATAACCCACAGCAGCGAGCAGGAGCTGACGTTTTGTATGTCCTGTGATGCTCCCTGGCACTCAGCAGAGCCATGTCCTGTTGTGGCTGTGGCATTCCAGTACTAGGTACTGTGAGAGCCAGGCATAGGCACAAGCACAATGGTATGCAGGGCCATCTGAAGAGTCTGGCACAACAACCCTGCTTCAATGAGCCTCATGGAGGGAAATTTCTCTTGCCTATGACTTCCACTTATACAATAGGGTAAAGGACTTTGCGTGACCCATATAAATTCTACAAAAATTTTGTCTGTCTCATTTTTCATTTTGCCTCAAACTGGCAATTCAAACAGGGATACTAAATCAGTTTTGATTTCTTTTTAAATTTGAAAGCTGATGATTTTATGAAGGATGCATATTTTATAGCTGTCATATAATACCCATCATTAAAAACTCAAATCAGTACTGTAAGTGCATTACCATAAATGGTTGGATGCCAGCGAATGCAGCTAATGGTTCTATTCTTGAGATACTGCACATCTGTAAATGATTGGTATGCTTTAAGATAAACATCTGGCTTGCCTTCTTCTTGGTCTTCTGCTAGGGCCTTCCAGTCATCAAAAAAAACATTCATAATTTCATTTTGCTGCAATGCAATTTCTACTCTGTTTTGTGAAAAGAACAATTAACACTTTAATAATCCAGATGTGTCTACTCAGTAGCAGAATTACAAATATTTCTGTAAAGAGGTAGCTTCTGTTTTTCACAAAATTATGATCACATTATTTAAAAAATCAAGTATTAAGTTCTCAGTGAAGTATCACTGCAAGGAAACATTCTTCTGTTTAAACAGAAGTAACTACTGTACCAAGAATTTAACTCAAGTTCTTTGTGGACCAAGTACAGTGCAATTGTCCAATTATTTGTGCAAAAAATGTCATTAAGTAAGACTTGTCCCACTTAATGGGACATGGATAAGGGCACAATCATAGGTAGAACAGCATCTTTGCTTACTGCACAACCATCTACTTGAATGGGCAGTGTTTAAAAGATCAGTTTTGCAGTTTGTTTGAAAAGATGTATCACTATCAACTTCAGCAGTTTTGATATCTATATAAAGCAACATTATATATCTATAGTATAATAAAAAGTAAATATGTCTATATAGCATAGACTTCAAAGAATCAAGTATAAAGTTATTATTTGTTAATATTAGAATAATAAAAAATGAAAAATGTTTATGGAAACAAAAAATAAAATTTATATTTGACCAGACCAATGATCCATTCAGACAAGAGTACTTGCTTGTATTTTGTATTATTTCTGGTAGTCCTTAAATGTATTGCTTCAATAATTTTACCTTATATGTACTGCTGTAAGAAATTGTTTCAGCTTCTCAGATGACAGACTCTCTGCTTTTGCTTCATTTGACAACTGCCTAGTACAATACTGCGTGGATGCATTTTTTGGATAGGTCCTACACAATTGGAATAAATTTGAATGTAAATATAGAAAACATTTCAAAGACAGAAACCTGTGTAATGTGTAAAATTTAAATATATAGTTTTTATAGAAACTTTTTAGAAAATATTTAAGAAAAAAGATGCAAACACAGCATCCAATTTTGTTCTATTAATCAGTTTGTAACTGAATAACTCCAGAATTTTAGTTGATATAAGAAACAGTGCATAGCTTAATAAATAAGCTGATAAATTGTTTTCTCATACTTACCATTTTGTCTGAGTACTAGCTTCTCTTAGTTTTGGAACCATCTGCACCCCCACATCCCTTTCAAGCATTTTAATACTGAAAGTATCGTCTTCATAGGCCGTGCATTCAGCATACATGTCTTTGTCATCTGAAGCATTCTTGTCAGTAAACGTAATCGGTGCACCAAACATCCTGCGAACTCGAGAGACCTTGTATTTAATCTGGAAAAGATACATTTCCATGGCTAGCAGAAAAGAAAGTTTTTGGGAAGCTCATTCTTTAAAATGACTGGATTCATATAATTGTGGAATTGTGGGATTTCAGTGTTGAGCTGACTCATATTTCTGCATTTTGAAATTCTGAAGTGCTCTTATAAATAAACTACATATATAATAGAAAATAAGTTTGTAATTGTTGTAGCAGTTTTGGATTACTGCTAGTAGGACAAGAGAATTACATTTTCTAATTCATCCAATATCAAAACTACACATTTAATTAAAGGATTGATTTGCAGGAAGCCTTATGTGATACTGAATTAGGCTTCCAAGACCTAACTTTTCAGCTCTTCCCTCTTGGTGGAATTCTCAGCATTGGGTGAGGTATTTCAACTTCCCTTGCAGTGCCTAGGGTGAGAAAAGTACTCTGAAGAAGATGCAAAAATGTTTGGAGGGGTTTCTTTATGCTGAGAACTAGGAAGGATGAAGAGACATGTCTTGACTTCTGCCCACAAAGAGTGGTACTTGATTTCAGGCAGTAGAGAGGTACTGCTTTGTCTTGGATTCATATCCAGGTACTTTTTCCCAGCACCTCCCACAGAACTGGAAAGGAAAGCAGGCTAAAAATACTTTTGAGTGGACCTTGCCAACAGTGCAGAATACATTCACAGTCCAAGTATTCTGTATTAAACTGAATGACTATGAAATAGCTTTAGAACAATCAGACATCTTTTTAGGTGTAAGCAAGATGTCCAGTTGCTGAGAACTATCAGAGAACTATGAGAACTGGCTAACTAACCTAGCCAGTCTTCCCTGAAAAGAGCTACTAAATAAAAATCACTCATGGACAGTTAGATGCTTGGAGATGCCCCACATATCACAAGTTAGGTGACAGCTGTGAGTGGATCTAGCTTTTGGACATATAATTATTTTTTTTTCTCTCTCTGTATATGTATATGTAATCTGTAGATGTAATTAATCAAATGTAGATGTAATTAATCAAATATGTCCTCCTGTAAAATCAGCTTGTAATAGCTGTAGCTGCTTAAAAAGTGTTGTATGCTACTTAAATGCCATCCCTATACTGTAACAGTTCATTGAGCTTCATGGAAACAGAGCAATGACTCTGTCATCCAGCCATTTCGTAAATTGAGCAAAAAGTGGCAGAGGTGCCAGTGACCAAAGATGATCAGGACTTTTGAACTTACACCTTAAAAAGTAGTTATGTCCAATGAAGTGATACATGCCTTATCTGCAAGACTTAAAGAGAACAGAGTTCAAAACAAAAGTTTCTGCAGCACTTTCAGCTTTTGTTAAAAGTTTAGTTATTTCTCTATTTCTCTCTGATATTTTTCTTGAAATACAGGGGGTTTATTTTTATTTGATTGACTAACATCTATTGATTCTGACCTTTGTATCCCTTTCTTTAACAGATTCTTCTTCAACTTCCTTTTCGCTGCCAAGGGAAACCCAAGGTTTGTGGACTTCCAGAGTTTCTTCTCTATTCTCTTCTGTTTCTTCTGTTTCTTCCTCAGTTACTAAAGACTGTGATATCAAACAGTAAGAAATGGTACTTTTTCAAAAATTTGTTACTGAAATGTAAGTATTAACTAGAAACCCAGTTTTCTGTCTTCACTCACACATTCTTTACTTTTGTGTCAGTGCAGTGAGTCTGGGTATACTGTGCCTCTGGGTAGGGCTGGCTAAGGTCCCGTTCATTTGTGCATTAGAATTTTCCAATAATATTTAATATTTAACTACTAAAAGAAACTATTGTCTTGAAAGCAAATAATTTTATATAAAAATAAATTATAGTGTTTTTTGTCCATTAGGCCCTCTGGCCTGGAACTGCATTTTACTTTTCTTAAATTTTGCTTCTCCTGATTCCCTGATGCTGGATGGCAAATTTATATTGAAAAATTATATAATTTTTCTATAAACTTTCTCTTACAGTGCAGCATACAAGTTCTATTTATCTAGAGCTATTTAGAACTCAAGACCATTTTCATGATTTGAAGAATATATTCACAGATACTATGAAAAATAAGTATAATACTTATTTGAAAACGCTCAATATATTTATTGTCTGTTATTTTTATTTATGAGAAATCAGGGTATTGAGAAAATGAATGCTTATGATAAAAATGCAGCAGTGGGGGTTATACTGTCTCTCTGAAGTAAAATACAAAAATTTAATTTAGCCCTTCTCAGTAAAAAAATATATTTTTACAGTGATACACATATTTTTCTATGATCAAGTTAACCATGAGAGAAATATTGTGTGCTTAACAATACCATTCATAACATCTTTGTTTGAGACTAGATTCTGAAATATTCAGAGATAGAAAAATGTTTTGGCATACTTCGATTTTACCTTAAGAAAGTTTTCCTTGGCTTCTTCAGAAGCAACCATGTAAAAATTCTGTCCATACTGGAAGTCTGGATCAAAAACTACCAAGAGTTCTTCCCCTGGATATTCCTATTTTAATGAAAAAAAATAATGGAAAACTGAAAACAAATAATATTCCAAACAAACATGAGGTTGTGACTGGAAAAGCTACTACCAATTTAGTATCTCAGGTTAATTTTGTATTCTTAATGGAGAATTTCATGTGCTAATTGAAAGGAATAGATAGGACTTATTTTGTAATAGAAGTGAGTCTGGGACAAAACTAATCTTTCATATGGACAATTAAACTGAAAATAAACTGTTTTGATGATTCTCAATAAATAGGCCATGAATTAGGGGAAGCCAAATATATGAAGCTGTCATTTCACAGAATCAAAACTAATAGTATTTATGTTACTTTTAGCATATTTTCAATCTGAAGTTAGTAAAAAAAAAATGCATGGCAAGCCATGAGAAACTTTGAGGCAACAATGGTCCACAACCACTAGCACTCAGGTATTAGAACATCAGTATGTTTACACAGAGTCAAACAAGAACAGACCCTTCTTATTCAAAAGAATTGACACTCTGAGAGTATAAGTCTTAAAGTGAGAATGAAATATGCTACATACTAGGATAACTTTTTTGAGACGGTGGAAATCAGAAGCTTTAGCTCTTGTTTTCACGTCTTGAATTATGTCCTCTTTTCTAATACACTTGAAACAATCTTTTTCTGTGACATCGTCATCAGGTCGGCAATTAAAGATTTCTTGGGTCTTTGCAGTCAAAAGCAAGGGAAAGATTTCTGGGTGGCCTATGAAAAAAAGCAAAATTGCATGATAACTTCAGAGTGTCGTTTAAACATGCATATATACTTTGATATCTCCATGCCTTTACTGTTTATGGCATAATGCCTTTGAACCTCTCAGCTTTGTTTTTGGTATTTTTCAAGGCATGAAATACAAATGATATTTACTTTATTAATCTTTGAAAATACTCTACCCAACATTTTGCACATAATGAATATGATTTTCCTGGTATGAGGGGCTTTTTTTCTTCTTGATCAACAGGTTATTAACAACTTTAGTAAGAAGTCTTTAACAGGTTGGTTTTAATATTTTAAGGGCAAAATCACACAGTTCTGACTTATGAAAGCTTTGAATAAATACCCTGTGGTCCTTCATTGTAGGGCAGCACCATATTAAGCCAAAGTTTAATGTAGGTGAGGCTTCTCCCAAGTAAGGATGCTTTTCTGATTTTGGACTTTCATCTTGCTCCCATGGAGTTCAGTTGCAGTAGAGACTACTTCTCACTAATCAAATGAGACTAAAGCAAGCTCACTGAGATTAAAGTCTGAGATTTCTTTTCAGCTTTATTGGAGCTGTTGTTTTCTATACACATGATGTCTGGTAGGTTCATTCATATCAACTCAGAACAAGATATTTCTTATCCTTGTGCTAGCACAGATACCTTCATTGATTTTGGGGAGGTTGGATGCAGTTAAGTGACCTGTTGACTGTGCTTTGCAAACACTCAATCTGAGAATAATATACAGTGCTTCTTATTGTGTGTGCCAGCTGTATGTGAGTAAGGCTGAATGTATGTAATGCTGATCTTTCTCATGTTCCATGTTCCATCTCCAGCTTGCATTACAGCTCTAAGTGGCTAAGATCACTCTAGGCCCAGCTAGTTGAATCCTGCCCCTGAGACTCCTCCTTTGCTATACGGCCCTGCTAGCAGACTCATGCTCTGTCTCAGCTGCCCTAGTAAGAGCATTCCTCATGAAGGCCACTACATGTTTGCCTGAGAAGGTTAGCAGATGTTCATCTTTTTGGTGAACTGGAAACTAAAAGACTTAGGGACATGTATACTGTGTACTATTTTTCTGTACTGAAATGTGCTGGGTGTTGTGATAATAGCTGATACTTTCTATTTTTGTTTCAGTCTCTTCACTTAGTTTAAAATAATATTTTATCTTAATTCCCAGCACCTGTGGTTTTTTTCCTCTTTGTGCATGCCTTGAAGATAAGTTGACATACCTCAAATGATGATTGTGACTAGCTGTGTCAGCACGTTTTGAGAAGTCCAATCTAAGCCAACAAGGACTAACAAAATGATAAATCCTCCTTAATCTCTGCACAATCCTATCGCATAATTCATTATGCTTGATGAATCTGACATTTATCCTTTAAAATCTTTCAGAGCTGCTACTCCACTGCATCTGTTCTGCCACAGTCATCACTAAAATTAATGGCATGCCTGATGTTTCTGGTGCATGCTACACTGTTCCAAGTATGGATTACTTAGTGTCCACTAGTTCTTTCATAGCACATACAATCTGTTTGTAGCACGCACAGGCCATTAGTTCACTTTCATCGCAAGCTGTAATCAATATTGCATGATTTTCCTTTTTGATATCTTGGAAAGTTCCAGGATTTCTGAATGGATGCTTCCAAAAAATACAAAATCATAGGGATGTGGATTGGGAAAAACCTCCAAGTCATCCAAACTCACTGTTGCTAACACCAGACCTCAAAAATCCCAGCTAGGGGTGATGGTTGTTTTTAGACATTATTATCTGTAACAATAAGCTTTTATGCTACTGTTTTTAAAATGCTGAATCATGTATAAAGCCTTGTGCACAAATGCTAATGCTGAAAAATCCTTTTAAAGAGATGTAGGTTTCACTGCCAAATGAAATAAGCATGAAATTTAAGCAAAAATACAATCACTACAAAAGGAAACAGAGTATGACAGATACTCTAAGTGCATTTTTTCCAATGCTCTCTTGTTATAAGCCCAAGTTAAAAACAAAGTAATGATCAGAATTAAAATTACACCTTTCAGTCTAAAGAACTAAAATTCTATATTGCAGAATATTATTTTTAACAGCAGCCAGCAGCTCTTAGTGCTACGAGAAATTCACAAAAGACCAAGAAACTCTAAGGAAGAAGTAAAGAACACTTGCAGGCCTAAGGAATGAGTGCATGGAGTTTAAATCTTGCACAGACGGTGTCTGCTTACACCAGTGTTATTTTCCTACTTTCAGCAACTGGTTCCTAGCAGTAGTTCAGCTGTTAGAGCTCGAACCTTATTTGCCAGTAGGTGGAGGTACAATTCTCTCTTACTATCTGTCTCCTGGAACATTAAAAATACATTTTTTAAAGTACCACTTTAATCATCTGTGGGATCACTTCTTGTGCATTTTCATTAACTGCAGCTTAGCCATTTTGGTGATGCTAACCAGAGAACAATTTTCACCCAGTGCTCAGAGGATTATGGAGGAAAACAAGTGATTTACATTTTCTTATAAAATTACCTAGTTTTTGTATTCCTTGTTTGCCACACGGTTTTAACTTTAAACAATAAAAGCTGTATTGTTAAAAGCCAATTAATCAGAACCCTTTGGATCATTCCTGTAAACCATAGATAAATTTTATTTTGATATCAATTTAAGTTATATCTGAGGAATAATTACACAAATTGGGTCAGAAGAAAATACAACCACAAATATGGAAAATAAAAAAACGTTGGAAATAATTGGGTGTCTAAGAAAAAAAGAATATATTTAAATTTGGATAATTGCATAGTTTTAGACCTTAACTATGGCTATGCTTAAAACTGAACTTGCACATAAGCCAGATTGTGACTTTTAAATGGTTAATTTTTCCCCTACAAAAATATATTATAAATATATTATAAATATATAATAAAAATATGCTAATCAATATCTTTTGGTATCCATGATTAAAAAACACGAGTGATGTGCTAAAATAATTTTCTCATAAAATTTAATAATGGTTTGACAAAGAGCAAAGATTAATGAATTATTTTTTAAAAATCATGTTTTACTTTTAATTGCTGAACTATTTCTAAATACAAAGAACCCTATAATTCTGTTATGATGATTTTTATTTCCCCTTATACCAAATCCTCTCAAACCAAGAAAAAACCTCTTCTACAAACCCATACTTGTTTCCTGCTGCACTGCCTCCTACTCAGAGCCACTGTAATCACTGTGATAGCTGCATTTCTAAATGGTTTATATTTTTTCATTTAAAAAATCATTAAATATATTCTATATTTTTCATAAAAATAGTATTTTTTTATTCATAAAAAATATTTTCTTTTTATTCCCTGCATTAATAACACTGAAGCTTCAAAATGCTTTGACTATTCCAGAACTACTACTTCAAAACTCAACCATCATAGTACTTACCTATACTGGCCATAGAAAGATCAACTTCCTTCTTTTTACCTGAAATATAATGACATGATGTTATCAGTAGTGCTGGTTACATAACTATAATTAGTAATTTTACCTCTCTAAGTTATCTATATAAAATAGCATATTCTAATTGATCTCATGTTTTTTTAATGCATGAGGCCAAAATAATTAAGGTAGATCTCATGTAAGCCCAGATTGCAGTTTGTTTCATTGTTGCTGTACCTTACATACAAAGCTGTGCTCCTTTTCCTGTTCATGATTCCTTAGCTTTGTTTTACCTTTTTGTTTCTTTGTCGATGTTTTTGAACCTTTCATGGTGGTCTTGCTGGATTTGAGACTTTCTGATATTTTTTTCCGATTTCTCTAGAGAAAGATACATATCATCAATAATTTTAAATAGACAACAGAATGCACCATGTATGAGTGAAAATTTGGTACATGACTTTATGTAGCTTATCATTACAGTAATATTTTCATATGCAGCTAAAGGTATGTTTCATAGTTTTAAATCATAAGCTGTGTTTTCATATCACATGAAAAACTTATTTTGTCCAGGGTGTTTGAAAATGAGCACTGACTTTCCACAATAGTGACAGGTTAAATTAGGACAGAGATTTCCCTTCATGAAAGCTAAGGACCTGAGATAAAGTGGGAAGAGCATGGGTGAAAATTCACTAGTTATAAATGTTTGTCCCAATGTCTGTAAGTGTAAATCACTACTCAGCTGCACAAAGCGTTTCTATTTCCAGGGGTTTTTTTCAGTGTAGCTCTGTGGAGGACAAACTCAGGAAGATGTATGCCTAGTTAAATGTAGCAACCACACAGCAGCAGATGATATTGTATAGAAGACTACTCCTGTTCCATTTGCTCTCCTTCATCCCAATATCTGGAGAAAGGATTAGAACAGTAGTGCAGGAAAGTCTCGGTTCCATGGCCAGGAGAAATGCTGTTCAGCCTGCCCGCTGCTCAGGCTGGAGAGCACCATCATGTGGGAGAAGCTCACATAGCAGCCGGTGGAAGAACTAAATCAGGATGGCCCAAATTCTCTTACAAGTGTTAAAATAGTTTGATGATAGTATTGAAGAGGCAGAGGTGTTCAGATGGGATGAGGACTATGGGGCTCTCACTTTGTTTGTGTCCTCCCTCTTCCATGATCAGGCTTTTTAAGGCTGTAAACTGCCTGGGAGTTTTTTTAAATGTCTACAGAGCACCTACAGTATTTGGGTGCTATTACAATTTTACTGCTAACAAGAGGAAAGTAGATGAAGATAGGACAAAAAGAGACGGCACCTTTAAGAATGCTGGCATGACATAACTATTTCTGATGATCTCTTACAGGAGCTATAGCCTGTCTGCCTGTGCATGTGAACAGCACATTTGCTGTCAAGATGCATAAGGTGAAAAGATGAGTTTATAAAATAAATGTTCTGTCCTGAGGGTTTGCTTATGAACAGCCTAAAAATAGTGAGTGCTAAAACAAACATGCTGTGCCCTGTGTATTTGCAATTCCAGTGGCATACCCAGACTGAGAAAAAGTGTCTTACTGTTTTGTAACACAGCCCTCAAATACTCTAGAAGCAAGCAATATAATCTTAGCTTCTGTTCTAAATTTTAGTATGAAGATGACCACTGATGGCAAGATATAGGTCATGGATTATAGCCTGATGGAATAGCTGAGGTTTGGGGTACATGTTGGCCTCCCATGAGCTCAAGGTAAATTTCAGTTGGCTTTAATATGAGCAGAGTCTGACATTCTTATTACAGTTATGCATTTTAATTTTTCACTCCAATCAAAGTAGAAAAGTATACTCTATAAATCCTCAGACTCTTTTCTGTATCATACTGCATCTTGGAGATCACAGGTGGTAGGCTGCATCCATTATATGTTAGTGTATTTCTCTCTTGTTTTGTCTCTCTTGATTATGGCAAATGCAGTCCCCTCCATTAATCTGTCTGATGAATTTAATTGAATCTTCTGCTTCTTCCAAAAATAAATAATGATACCAATGCAAAGAAAATTAATGTTTCAGAATTCTGAAACTTTTGCTGTGCATGGGATGATGTTTTTATCCCCCTCCCCAAATAATATATAATGAATCTAAGGAGAAAGTTGGGAGTTTTTTCTGCCCTCATTCTCACAGTATTTTTGTCAAATACAGGAGTAGAAACACTGTTAATATAGTTCTGTGTAACAGTCAATATATTTATATACAAATATATAAATATATTTTATATATATATATGTATTTCTTATCTATTTTCATATACATGTATAATCTTTGAAAGAAGACTGTGCAATATGCTTAGCTTATAGTTCTGAAACACTTAGGCCTACCTCACTGAGAGTGCATATCAATTCAGGTGGCCAAAAGAGATTGATTTTTCCTTATTTAAAAAGGAAAGCTGTACAAAGCTGTTTCTTATCTATCTTGTGTATTTTACATATAAAAATTGTAACCCGTATTGTAAATTGGTTCTGTGACTATTCTAATTTGAAACCAACCTTTATGCCTCTGTATACGAGAGACAGCCCTCCAGGAGAGGAGGTGAGGGCAGCTGTTGTACTAATTAGTTGAAGGACAGTATGAACCATCTCAGATATATTCCAGTCACAATGTCTTACTTCACCATTTCATAATTATGCACTGCAACAAAACTAGTTTGGAAATTTTGAGTGAGTTCCTCTGAGTATCCTAAACTCTAAGTCACATGAATGGAGGATACATTGAGAAGGCTGATATAAGTCACATCCTGTGTTTAGTAAAATAACTCACAGATAAACACAAGTATATTTTACCTATAAAAACAGTTAAAACTCTTTGGAAATGGTGTCCCAGTAATCAGTTCCTCCTCCTTCACTGAAAGGATGAGGTATGGAGGTAGATGCAGCACTATAGAGAGAAGGGCTGCGCTGGCGATGCTGGTGTCAGTGCCTGGTGCATTTGTTAATACAAAAAGTGCCCTTGTTCAAGGATTGCAGATGGATAGAGCAGTCAGTGGGACTGTTCCCGCTTCCCTCTGGGATGCACAGGACCTCCCAGCTGGAAAGCAGATAGAAAATTACAAACTATCTTCTTTTCAATATGCCCAATACCCTATCATGCCTGCCCTCTGTCATCCTGTGGCCATATGATTGTCAGTGGTCAGGAAACAGGGAAGGCCTGCAGAGAAAGCAAAGACAGAGCTTCCAGAAACTTCTCTGGAAGCATAACCAGGCCCAAGCTTCTACGAAAAGTTGGTTTTTACACAGGAATATGGTAACCTCCAGGTGCTCACTTCAGGAAACACACACACATACACTGAGAACTTTCAAATATGTATTGAAGAGCAGCATTTTGTACATCACCTCTTCCAAACAAGTATAAAAGAACAAAAGTCACAATATGTAAGTTAAAGATGCTATTTTCAGCAGTTTCTTCTTAGTTTGGGGGTTTGCGCTTTTTTCCCCCTATGTTTTTATGCAAAATACTAAATGCTATCAAGAAAGCCATAAAAAAAACCAGTCCATATTAGTGAACCGTCTGAAAATGTGACCAAAATAATTAATTTTTTAATCTATGGTTAGGTCCTATTCCCTTAGGAATACTTCTATACTGCATATTTAAAAAGGACTTGTCAGGGCACACACAAATGTATTATGCCTTTCCATTATGTTTATAAAAAAATCATGATTCTATGATTGAAAAGAGGTTGGAAACAACATTTAAATTAACATAATTTGAAAATTTTAAGAGTGGAAAATCTACATAAAATTGCAGCCTTTGAAAATCAGTTGTCATGAATACTGCCATGTATTTTATTTTTAAAAAGTAAGTAATATTTAGATTTCATTAATTATGTTCAGTCTAATTTTTCAGCAGTTTTTCAGTTGAGCACAGTGTTACATTATGTAATTGCTAAAATATGGGTAAATATTTGACAACTCTGTTTGATATTTTATAGCCAAGTTTGTTTACAGATGGCTCTAATATTTTGAACGTTAGGCTTAAGAGAAAAAATAAGATCAGAGCGTCCTCCTAATTATTTAATGTACTGAAACATTTACAGCTATAAACAAATCCGTGAAGTTGCTAGGTACTGCAAAAGGCAAAAACTAATTAGCTATCAATTCTACCAAAAAACCTGTCTGATTTGAGGACACAGAATGATTCATTAGTTGCCTAATTGAATGATTTAAGGTCAAGTTTGTGTGCATTATTATTTTAGGGCAGTAATTTATTATAATTTGGAATGACAGAAGAATTAGATGCATGCCCATTTTACAAAAGCATTTTCTCTACAAGGAATGAATCAAAACCATGTGCTAATTGCTTTTTTGTTCTATCTCTAGAAAGCTAAAAAACACATTTCCATTGGTAAACATTTAGGAACTTGCTAAAAATACCGTCTTGAAAATTACTTTGTCTCTCCAAAAATTAATGTGCAATGTTGCCTTTAATTAAATTTATTCTATTTTGCTCCATGCAAAGAGCAAGTAATACAAAATTATTAAAAATTACTAATAATCCTTGTGCATATTTGGACACAATTTCATTGTTAAAGTTGTAGGGAGTAAAGCTGAAGTTTTGGCAACTGCCAAATCAATTTGAATGTATCTGGTTTCACACTTATAACTTTTCATTATATCAGGCTTACTTGAACATGGTGTTGATTTTGTTATTTGATGGAAACCAGTAGGTGTAGTTACAGTATCTGGGATGGTAAGTGCAATGGGTATAAAATTAGGTTAAGAATTAATAAGAAAGCCATAGGAGAACAAAATGGAAAACTTCATTCTAATGTTGGTTAATACTGTATTCTGATTCTCTTTTCTTTCTTTTACTCAAAAAGAAATTGATAAAAACTGGAAAAGGTATAACAAGGATGATTGAAGACATAGAACATATGTACTGGGAATAAACTAGGATTATTTTTAGCCTGAAAATGATATGATAGAAGTTGGTGAAATCACAAGAGACACAGAGAAAGTGACCAGGAGATGCTGATTCACGGTCCTAACACGAGATCGAGCTGGCATCACATGAGCTTACAGATGTGGAACAAACAACTGGGAACAAACAACAGGACTGCAGAAGTGTTTCATTGCACAATAAGTGCATGAATTATGGAATATACTGCCTGTGGACAGGACAGCTGCCAGAAGCACACGATTTTAGAATGTAACAGGGCAAACTGACAGATGAAAAACTGAGGGCAACTAAAAATAATGATAATGCATTTAGCTATAGAAATTAATCCACAAATCCAAAAATTTTAAAAAAAAAAGCAAGTGCAAAGAGTGGAAATATGTTAGTGTTATCTTGCCCAGACAGAACTTCTGGTATGAGCAAGTACAACTGGTCTAAACTATTAAAATAGTGTAACAATTTGGGTGGTACTTAAAAAGTTACTAAGTATGATATGGAAGTTGTCATAACACGGTCCTGTCAGGAACAGTAACATATGTTGCATTGTCACGACTTTTGAAACATAAATGCTATATTGTAAAAATTGACATTAGATTACACTTCTTTAAGCAGAGGTAAGAAAAACAACCATCTCTGTGGAGACTGAGGATGGGTGTGTGTGTTTGCGGGGGTTTGCAGGGTTGCGGCGGGGCTGGGCAGTGTTGGCAGGCCTGCTCCAGCCTCCGGCACTGCCCTCACGGCACGGAAGAAGGCGCTGCCTCGGGCCCGAGGGCAGTGCGGCGGGAAGAGGCGGCGGAGGCGGTTCTGCCGCAGGGGCAGCCCTGTTGCCGGCTGCTGCCCGTGTGGTCTCGGGTCGGGAATCTTTCACCGTTTCCACAGCGCTGCCGGGTCCCCTTCGTGCCCTTTGTCCCTACCTGTGCGGCCGCGGCCCTGCGCGTCCCCGGCGGCGCGAGGTTGTCATGGCGATGGGGCTAGCCGTGATTGACGGCTCGCCCAGGCAATCAGCGCCCTGCTCTGCAAACCCGCCCCGCAGCGGCAGCTTGCAGGGCCGCCCCAGACAAGAACTACTCGTCCCAGCATGCCGTGCGCGGGAAAAGTGTCGCTGGCGGGACTCTGGGGCGCGGGGCATGATGGGGTCTGTAGGCGACAGGCGGCGGCAATTCCTTTTGCAGCCAGGCCAGCCGCGCCCCCCAGTCCAGGCATCGGTGTTTGCCGGACAGTGGTGTGGCTGTCTCCCGCTGGGGTTGAGGCGATTCGATGCGGTTTGTTAATATGCAGATTTGCATTCTGTATCTTTTGTATTTTGGATGCATAAAAATAATTTAGTTTGCCTTGCTGCGATGTAAAACACAGGAGCTCCGGAGTCTCCTCTCTGTACGGAGCACCCAGTTCTGTCCTTGGTGCCACTCCGAGGTCCATCCACCCCTTCTTATGGTAAGCAGGAGGATTCCTTCTGTCTTCCGTGTCAGTCTGTACAGCCAGGAAGTTCCCTTTCTCAAAATGCCTGCTACTCTCTTTGTTTTGGTCTTGGCCTTATTTTACTTGCTCCTTTTATACCAGTGTTCAGAGTGGTACTTGGAGCACAAATTAGGCAGCTGAAGACTGAGCACAGTTATAACCCGAGGTTTATCCTCTTGTCAGGCAGCAATGCCAAAGGGATCATTTACGCAGCGCAGTGGGACTGGCACAGACCCAAGGCAGGAGTCCGCTCTCTTTGAAGTTCAGTTAATAACTTTAATAGCTTAATTTCGTATAAGTGGAATGACTTAAGCATATCCACTGTACCACTAGCTGCCTTTCATAGCTACAGTTCTGTGATCTGAAAGGGACTTTGGGGGCTCTTTTTGTTTGTTTTGGATTTTTTTATGACGAGTGCGACACAGCTATTTATAACATTATTTCCCCTGGTGGAGAAGTCTAAGTCAATAAATCTGGAGCCGGCATTACCATCCCATAGGAAGTGTATTACAGTGTGGAGAGCCGCCCGTCACGTGCGGCAGGAGGGAGATGTGCAGCACAAGGTGTCAGAGGCCGCGTGTGCCGGTGTGCACAGCACAGCGCGGCACAGCCCCGCATAGCCGAGCCTAGCCCGGCACGGCACAGCCCCGGATAGCCGAGCCTAGCCCGGCACGGCACAGCCCCGGATAGCCGAGCCTAGCCCGGCACGGCACAGCCCAGCCCAGGGGCCGGCGCGGGCTGGCGGAGGCCGCGGCTCTCCCGCCCAGCCAAGCGGAGCCGGGAGGGCGCGGGAGCGGGGGGCGGCTGCAGGCACCGGGCTGCGGGCACCGGGCTCTCACGGCCGCCTCCGCGGCGGCAGCAGCCCCCGGAGCGGCAGGAGCGGTCACGGGTGGCAGGTACGCGGGAGCCTTCAGCAGCGGGGGAGAGGGGTGGGGGCGCACCCCCCGGCCCCAGCCTTCGCCCATGGGGTGCCACGGTGAAGGGCCGCCGAGCCCGGCAGGGACAGCGGCTGCCGCGCTCCGGCCTGGCCGGTGGCGGCGATGCGGATGCGGGCGGCTCCCGCCTCGGCCGCTGTGCCATCCGCAGGGCTGCGGCAGCCCGCGGGGGCTGGGAGCCGCCTGCAGCGGCTGGCAAGGGCAGGGAGGCTGAGGGAAGGGCCCGGCCAGGCCCGCAGTGACCGCCCGGCTGTGACCGCCCGGCTGCCGACATCCTGGCCCGGGTTGTGGGGCAACACGGGGCTGCGCCTGTGGGAACGGCAGCCCAAGCCCACCGTGAGGGCCAGAAGTTGGTCCGGGCTTTTTGGTTATTTGTTGGGGGTTTTTTTTGGTGTTTTGTTGTATTTATTATTATTTTTTTAATCCAGCACAGGTATTGACAGGACTATTTCAGTGGCAGAATAGAGCTCCATTTTAGAAATGCTGGATCAGCGATGAGAAAGATGAGTGGCAACCACAGCATATTGTACTTTATCCTGCAGGACAATGGAAGTCTGATAAAACAGGAGTTGAACTTTATTCGTTCTCTGTATGGGCCTGTTCTTAGTGTTACACTGCTGACTCAAAACTTTTCTTGCTTTGCCTGACAATTGGGGAAATTGAAGGTCTCAAGTCATATCTGAAACAGACTATTATTCTGCTCTGTGCAGGGGCTGCTGGAGGAGACTGGATGTGACTGGACATTTGTAAAAACCAGTCTTGACTATGATGTTTTGTTTGAGTTACATTCAAAACTATTCTTATGGGAATCAAAAATAAACTGTCTAATAAGGCACACCTTTATTCAGAGCCTAGGCTGTCTTCTCTGTTCTTAATGTCATCAGTCTTTTGTCTGAAATCAATATTCCTGGCTAGTTCTTAATTATTTTATTAAATGTTTATAAAATGTTTGTGAGTCAGTGAATTTAGTAACAGATCAAAACATAAACATACTGAATACTATGCAGAGTAATGTCTCAAAACGTGCTTTTAAGGTTCTCATCTTTTCCCCTCATACTGAACTCAAATGTGAGCCTCTTCAACTAATCATGATTCAATTACCTCGTGGTCCTTTTGTTTGGTTCATCATCGCTGGTGGTTTGCATTGGGTCTTTTATGGCAAAAGAAAAAGTCATAATCCTGCCAAATGACAAGTTAATGCTCTCAGGTAATTTATCTGAATTGCAATTTGTCATGGTCCATCTCCATTTCCAAGAATGAACTGTGCTAAAAGTGCTTTATAATGCATAGGAAAACCGCTGCCTCTTGAGAATTCCATTTCTTTCAGGGATTTGACACAGGCTTGTAGGTGTGCTACAGCAATAGATAAATTTTCCCAAAGCGTGAATGCTCATGAGAGGCTTTTAGTACTCTCCTTGAGTCAGGATGTCTTACACATATGCTGTTGTTGTCAAGTGAGAGAGGAATACATTTTCAGGAACTGACCCTGTAATTCCAAATGGACAGAAATTCCACTATTAAATAAGTGTCCTGGCAGCCTAGCTGCAAATTTAAAAACTTGCCCATAATTTTCTTGGAGTTCTGCAGAAAATGTTCAGTAATATGAGAAAGGTGTGAAAGTCACTGTAAAGTGTGCCTTTCACAGAAGATAAATGCCTTTGGAGTCCGGGTTGTTAGTGCAGACTGATCTGCTGCTACTGCATTGGTGCTTGCATGTTTTTCAACTGACAAAGACTACTTTTCTTTTCAGAAATGGAAAATCCTGAAGTGGCTGTGAGCAGCTGCAGTGCTCATGATGAGGAAAACCTTTGCAGCTACAAACGACACTCATCAGTATCACAGGAGGGGATTTTGGAAGACCAGCTTAGAAGGAAGTTAAAATTTTTCTTCATGAACCCATGTGAGAAATTTTGGGCCCGCGGCAGAAAGCCTTGGAAACTTGGGATTCAGTTACTCAAAATAGTAATGGTTACAGTTCAGGTGAGTACCTATGGAAGGAGGGACTCAGCCTGTGGGAAGTCAAATGAATGCAGGTGACATGCTATTCATGGTGTGGTGCAGAGAAAGGGTGTGGTGCAAAGAAATAGATTGCAAAATTCTTATTTGCATATATGTAACTTAGATCTCAGGTGGCATAATTTTCTCTTAAAACTATGGACTGAAAAAAAATAGTATTCTAGGAGTACAGATAAAAGGAATCATGTTTAAGGGCTCAACTTGGTTTTTTACTTTACTTTTTTTTTCTTTGCCATTTTTCCCCCCAAAGGATGGCATCCCTACACATCTGTTACCCAAGTACCTGCTTCACTGTTGTGTTTGAGGGGAGGAAAAGTCGTCTCTGTTTCAATATCACAGTGATAAGAAATGAAATTGGTGACCTTTTAATGATGTTCACTTGTATCTTGCATATGGTGTACAAACTCTTGCATTGAAAAAAACCTCAGAAATTCTTCCTCGCTCTTTCTCTCACCTGGCCTTGCACCACAGATTTCATATAACACATTTATCTGCTGCTCAAAACACAATTGTTTGTCTCAGAGTTCTGTGGTTAAGGCAGAAGAAAGTTTTTATAAAGCCTTTCTAAGGCCCCAGATGATCCTTCAGAGCTGCCCACATGTGATCTCCCTTTATGGTCATGTGCTATGACAGTACATGTATAGAAAAGAATGCTTTCTTTCCATTTGCATGAATGATGGCACAAACTGCAGAAATAAGAGTTCTCCTGCTGTGCATCTGGCACTATGTTTGTGTCCCTTACTGTTTCATTTTCAAATGTACCTTCGTTCTCTGATTGCCATCTCTCCCCTTTTGCAACTAAGAGTTGGTGATGAAAGAATCCAAATAAAAAAGAAACTAATGCCAATTTTGTATTTTCAGAGAAAACGTGCCTGTAGGTAATTCAGTCTGAGCAGTGTTGCTTTGCTGGTATATTCCTGTGTGCTGAGCACACTGAGCTTGCCTACAGAGCATTTCAGTATCTCTGTAACTGAGTTACCCTTATCAAAACCTGCATCTCCAGTTTGCACCATGGCCATAAAACTAATCTGTAGACTACTGATTCAGACTTATCTCTGATGAGTTTCTTCACACTACACCTGACACCAGATTTGAAACAATAGTCAAGAGAATTGTAAGCTCCCAGGAACAGTACATCATGTACTTCTAGAAACATTTTCCAGTCTGGATAGTGACTAGTAGTAGTAGTGAGTTTTGTGCTCACTTTTTATGAACAGTTGCAATATATTTATTTTACCAGCTTCAGGTGTTATCCTGTTGCAAGCACAGCTTTGGTGAGTTATTATCAAAGCACTTTTCACTGAAACTTGATTGAGAGATGTTTGTTCTCCTGAGTTGTCCTCAATCTCCCTTTTGTGCAGTGGAGTAAGGACTTCAAAGTGGGATCTTGTTAAGTCTTACCCTGCCTTTTTGGCTGAGGAATAATGATATTCCCCCAGGGCAAGTCAATTGACGCCAGGACAAACTAACAAAGCGTGTGTAACAGTATAGGGAGCTGGAACCTGAGATGGCATCATTTTCTTCCTAAAAATTCAAGTCCTTGGCCAAGATGCTGTAAACATGTTGAAGGCACACATTAGTGAAACCCTTTCCTTCCTTAAAGCCAAACTTTCATTTGACCAGCTGTGAAATGGAGCGGCCTGCATGTAATTGCCATGTCTACCAGTGAGGCAGAAGACTGGCTGTTCATAAAACAGGGTTCATATGTTAATCCAGAAGCCAACTTTGTCTTTGAACAGAAAATATGAATGTCTTTTTCAGCTGGTGGTTTTTGGATTGAGCAATCAAATGGTGGTTGCCTTCAAAGAAGAGAACACTGTTGCATTCAAACATCTGTTCTTGAAAGGATATATGGACAGAATGGATGATACCTATGCTGTATACACACAAACAGATGTTTATGACCAGATATTCTTTGCAATAAACCAGGTAGGAATTGTTGCTGCAATATGTACAATATATATGCTCTTTGGCTGGGTACCTTTTTTTAAATTTAACTTCTGTGTCAATTGCTTAAGACTAAAGCATCAACTCATTTAGGTTTTCTGTCATTGCTAGAGCACTGTAATGAGGTAACATCCTTAAAGTTAATCAATGTACTAGTTCTACACTAAAAGCACTCCTTGGATCTGAGCCAGAATTCTTTGCAAGTAACTAGTTTGGCTTTCTAGTAAGGATTGTAAGGAGAAAAACATAATAAGCAAAAAGGTATTTAGATCCAAATCCTGTACTTAGTGTTTTTGTCAAATACCTTAAGAGATTTGAGGACTCAGCTGTTGTGTGGTTTAGGTTTCATAGTTCTTTAGGTGACCTTTTAAATAAAAGAGATGGGTTATAACCACTTCTGGTTTGCTTTGTTTTGTTTTTTTTGTTTTTTCTCAGAGACTAACAGTTTTATTGCTATTTAAGTTGGTTTGTTTGTTTTGAACTTTAGTACCTCCAGCTGCCCAACATCTCTGTTGGAAATCATGCTTATGAGAAGAGGGGAGCAGAAGAGACGCCTCTGGCTGTTTGTCAGCAGTTCTACAAGCGAGGAATCATCTGTCCTGGAAACGACACCTTTGATATAGACCCAGAGATTGTGACTGGTGATGAACCTAATCTATTTTGTCAGTTCTTTGGGAGGATGAGACCTACATTTTTGATAAATTCCTTAAAAAACTTTACAGTACGGTATAGTCTTATCACATGATCTGTATTGAACTTACTACCAGCCAAAACCAGTAAGAAAAGTTCTGTGTAAGTAACCTCTAGCCCTCACCTCCAGTGTCTGATGCCACAAAGAAGTGAGGAGCCTTTAGCACTGATGACCATCTAGTACAAGTATTTGGGGCTAATTTTCAGGAGTGTTCCCTGTGAATTCATGATGAATAACTTGGCTGCTGTTCAAGGAAGCCAGTGTATTTGTCAGTTGGCTTCTCAGATGACTCCTCACTCAAGTGTGCTATCTTGTCTGGTGTAGCCAACAGCTCATAACAGCCTCGGGAGTGGGACAGGCAGATTACGGTAAAAGAACCTGATAATCCATGAGATATTGTTGTGAGTCCTTATCCATTCCAGACTGCTTGTACATTGAGCCAACGACTTCATTAGACAACACAACAATGGGAAAGCACAATTTGAATTTCACTCTGGATTTCCCCAGGTGAGGAGGAACGAGCACCTCCTGTGTTGGGGTATTGGTGCATTTTCCCTGTGCAAGGCTAACCTGAAGCTCTGTTGCAGGCTGGTGGCAGTGCAGCTCATGTTCAATCTGAAGGCAATCAACCTCCAGACCGTTCGTCACCACGAGCTCCCTGACTGTTACGATTTCACTCTGCGGGTATGTGGAAGCCTGCCACGTGTCTTTCTGCTCAAAACCACAAAATGACTTGCTGGTTTACAGCACAGTCAGGACAGGTATTTTCTGTAGTGTTGAGTATCCCTGGGTCAGTGGTGCCTGGATTACTCTGTTAGGGCTTAGTGTAGCCTGTAAATAACCAGCAGTTGTCACTCTTGGAGGTTAAGCTTTCAGTGCTCCTGATGTGTTCCTGAAGTACTTGCTTGGCTTACAGCCATTTGTGCTCTAATCCATCTGAAGTATAATGGAAGTGTAAATCTCTTCTCTTTAGAGAGATGCTTGTGGGAAAGATCATAGAGGAATGAGGATGTAGTTTAAAAGAATTTTACCTAGTAATTGGTTGATTGAACAATTTTTGGCAAATACATAATTCAGCACATTTGTCTTTCATTTTGACAGCATTTATTTGAAGATACTGGAATTAGTTTAAGCTTAGAAAAGTTTTGTAACTTCTCCCCTAGGAGAATTATTCTGCATCATTATGCAGGCTTAGCAATACAGTGGGCTACATATGTAATTGTTTAACTTTATAAAGACATGCACCTATTTTCATTTGTTTTTGTTTTTAATACAGATTGTGTTTGATAATAAAGCACACAGTGGAAGAATTAAAATAAGTCTAGACAATGACATAGCGATCAGGGAATGTAAAGACTGGCATGTTTCTGGATCAAGTAAGTGACATAAATGTGTTCAAATTTTCATGCTGAAATTGTGTCCACTAGCACAATTTTTGTTAACCTTTTTCTTTATGAAAAGGTGAGGCACCACTGACATACAATCTCTAGCATGTGCACTCTAGGTCTGATTTTCTAAGAAATTGTTGTTCTTCAACCTCTGATCTGAAAACCTGGGAATTCAGCCACAGCGTTACTTTCTGTAGCAGTTCTCAAGGCTTGCACCATTGATAATGGCAAAACAAAATTTTTCCACGCCTCACTGTACATCCTTCTGTCTTTCGCTACTGAACTTAGGCTGCTCATTCCTTAAGGCAGAGTTGTGAACTGTTCAAGCACCAGGCAACAGGACACATGATAGTGGTGGAAAGCTGAAGCTGATTTACTCTTATTTCAGGACTTAGCACCAGAAAAGATAAGGAAGCTTTGTTGCTAAGGCTTGCTGGAGTGTAATGGCTAGAAACACTTCTTATTGTTGCTTAAATGCCATTTGCTGTGTATTTGGCTATAACTGAGGTGCACAAGATGGTTAAATTTCTTATATAGTGACTCACAAGAATGCACCACCTTTGTTGACAGACATTTGGCCTGGTCAAAACATCATCTTTTTTTCATCAGCAAAAATAATCTCTTTGAGTCAGAAGCTTTCCAGGACTTTCAGATTCCACTTTGCAATAGGATGAACCAGGCCCTTCTTTCTACTTTGCCACTTTCTCTGTTGCTATGCCTGTGTTAGGGAATGAAGAGCTGGTAGTGGAAAAGGGTAACTGGTGTTTTTGTTAGATCCAGACTGAAATTAATTACTGGGGTCGGGTGGGAGTGCATCCCGGAGCTCAGCGCTGCCGTGCCAGCCGTGCCCAGCAGGCGGCGCTGCCGGGGCCGGCGGCGCGGTGGGCGTTGGGCGCTGAGCGCGCCTGCAGCGCTCCCCAGCCACTCCCGGAGCCCCTCTGGATGCTCTGCACCAGGGAAAGGCTGCAGCCGCACCCTAACAGCTCCTTCCTGTTCCGCACTACATGGCAAAACCATCTAAACGGCAGCAGTGTAACAGGGAAGCACTGGGTGGGCTTTTTCCGAGTAGTGCAGTTCATCAAGTCAACTAGAATTTCAGCAGCCCATTTTGTAGAATTGGTGCATGTTCTTGCAAATTTAGCATTTTTTGTTTGTTTTTTTTTCAAACCACCATCCTTTTAGCATTAAAAATCTAATCCTTCCACTGTCTCACCTATTTTCAGCTGTATGATAGGTATAAAAACAAACAAAAAGATTTGGTGCAATGTTTAATATTAGATGATCAAGAATGTGAATTTTAGTAACAGATGGAGAACTCATGTCTAACACAATGTTGATCTTGACTTGCTGAGCAATAGTACAAGTTATCTGCACTGCCGTAGGACAGAAAACCTGATTGTCAAATACTGGTCTGAAAGAAAAGATACATATTATAAAGTTCCTAGGATTTTGGAACTCTATGACTCCAAAGGCCATTCCAGTCGCTGTAAAATGATTAACTCTCACCAATAATCCTGCAGGACTATAAGAAGCACTCACTCACACTGATATATTTTTGATGTGGTATCAAGCCTCCTAAATTTACTGAAGTGGTATCTGTAGTGCAGATGCACTTGCATCTCTCATAAAATATGTCAAATAAACTTTTGTGGGAAAAAATGCTAAGATTTTTCTTAATTCAGTTGTATAAATTTAGTTAACATCAAAACTTGATTTTTACTTCAGTAAAGCAATCAGTGATGGTCAACAAGAATGAATGCACTATAAACATGTACATTTTTGTTCTTGCAGTACAGAAGAATACTCATTACATGATGATCTTCGATGCTTTTGTCATATTGACTTGTCTGGCTTCATTGATCCTTTGCACACGATCAGTGATTAAAGGAATTTGGCTCCAAAGGGTGGGTATAGCTCCTTCTTTGGAAAGTCTTGTCTTGTATAAGCCCAATTAACTGTTTTGTTTCCTCCTTTCCCCTAGGAATTTGTAAGCTTTTTCCTATATTATTATAAGAAAGAAGTGTCTTTCAGTGATCAAATGGAGTTTGTCAATGGATGGTACATCCTGATTATGGTTAGCGATGTCCTAACTATTGTTGGATCAACTTTAAAGATGGAGATACAAGCTAAGGTAGGCTTGTCACACTGTCAGATGGAAGCAAAAATGTTTCTGTACAACCTAGGTTCAAACCTCTCAGAGAACTTTAGGCTGGCTGTACTTGCTTCTGAGTGGCATGACATTTTAAAACTCTATCTTCTCCTCCAGAATTGCAAGTCATGTGTATTGTTTCTAGTAGCAAGATTTAAAAACTTCAAATATCACTCTATATTATAGTGCTGAATTATCTTTGCTCCCTGTGACTCTGAGGAATAAAATGCAGTTCATCTCTGAAAGTTTGACTGTTAACTTCCTCCCTTCCTCACTTATATGTGCTCATTTGATGAAATTTTTCAAATTTAGCATTTAACTTTTGGAACTCTGTTTACAAGTGTTTAACAGAGTCTCTCTCCTTAAATATCACATTGCTGCTTTCCCAACTTCTGTTTTCTAGCATGTACGTAACAGTCAGCCATAGCAGTGGCTGATTTTGATTTCTAAATATTTTCACTTTCTAAAATAAACTTAATATGGACAAAACTCAAAACTTGTAGAACATTATGTTTTACAGAATTAGGGAAGAAAAAATATTATAATATGCTATCCTGAAGCACTCTGATACTCAGATAATATTGTTCTTCACAGAAATCTGTAGCAGACTTTGAAGTGTGACATTGCAACATAGTGGACTTTGGACAGTAATGATGAAAGGATGGGTCTGAAATCCATCTGCTGACAGCTTGACTGTCACAAACACCCTGTACAAATTGCCCTGTCTCACCACAGTACTATAAACTCATTGAGAGTAGAAAGCAGCTGTGAGGAAGTCAGCTAAGAGATAGCTCCATCCTGCTTTGGGAAAAGCAAAGAAGATAACAAGATTGGAATAAGGTCTTTCATTTGGGATTCCTGTATCTTATATTATAAAGACATCTATTTATATATGTAAGAGTATTTTATTATAACTCCTCTCTACAGGTTACATTTTGCTCAATTTTGCAAGCCTTGTGGACCATAATAATAAGATCTTTTTCCATGTTACTGTATGAAAGTGGTTGAATAACATGTTCACGTTAAAGTAGCCTAAATTTGTTTCTTGTCAAGCTCTAAATGAATTATGCTGATAGGAAAGATTAGTCAATATCCATTGCCAAAATCTACTATTTACATTTTATTCTTAGGAGAATAGAAACAGAAATTAATGAAAACTTCTTTCCAAATCAGCTGTCACGATCCATGTCAGAGGAGAGCTGCAGTTCAGGAACAGAGTACATGCTAATTTGGATGAAAACAGGCCAGTATCTATAGGTGGAAAAAACAGCAAAGTGCCAGTAGATATAAGTTCTGGATAGAATTCATTAGAAGCTAATTAGTCTTCTCCTTGATAGCTTTATATAGCTCATAGATCCCAACTACATAACAAGATCCTCCTGGGTATTTATCTGAGCAATGCTGACTAGTCATGCTAATTTTGACAAAGAGCTTTTCCTATGTACTGGAAGAACTTTTTTTCTTCTGTGTCATGTTTACCCTGTTCATTGGGATGCAGTGCAGAGATTCCTAAGATGCTCTGAGGAATCTGTCAGTGCAGATTCCAGAAGCAGTTGCTGCAAGTCTGGAAGCAGCATAAAAATGTTTGCAGTGCTACGGCAGATCTTGGTGAGCTGGGTACAGAGGAGGTGTCTCTGCTTCTGCAGTGCACCTGCCTTGCAAATAAAGCTCATCTTGTGAGAATCTGTTTTACAAACAGCCATGAGTAAAGGCATGAGCAACTCATGAAATGAATTGCACTTGAAAGTGGCCCTGCTCTTTCGTGGGACCTCTCTCTAATGCATATTGCCTCAAACTAATTTCTAATTGGGAGAGTTTGCCAAAGGAAAAATGTTTCTTAATAAATCTTTGTAGTAATAGGAGTCACAATTTAGAAGCTGCCAGTTGTTACAATAATTAATTTTTCCCTTTCTAATTTTTTTGCTTCTTCTCTTACATTTTTTCAGAGTCTGACAAGTTATGATGTCTGCAGCATCCTCTTAGGAATATCTACCATGCTTGTGTGGCTTGGAGTCATTCGCTACCTAGGTTTCTTTCAGAAGTATAATGTAAGGATCTCCTGGGATCTTCATACTGTTGGTATTTATTCTGTTTGTTGCTATAAGAGGACTGGAAGAAGTATCTGGCTGAATTCTAACTGTTTGCATTGCTTTGTGCAGCTTCTTATCCTAACACTGCGAGCAGCATTACCCAACGTAATGAGGTTCTGCTGTTGTGCTGCTATGATCTACCTGGGCTATTGTTTCTGTGGATGGATTGTACTGGGACCATACCATGTGAAGGTAATGTTCTGACCATGAAAAAAGACAGCTTGGATAACAGAATGAGAGATTACTACTGTTGTTTTCTAGTTCTCCATGTCAAGGCTTCCCTTAATGTAAAAATAGTGCATCTCCAACATGATGCTGTTCTGTTTGAGGAGTCTGACTTCCATGAGTCAATCAGACTTTCCTCAAGTTATGAAAGCTCCAAGTCAGAAGTGGAAGCTGTAATGACTCCCAATCACATGCTGATATTTTAAGAAATAATTTCCATTTTGCAGAACACTGGAATCTGACTAAAACTTTGGAGACATTATGCTTATCTCTCTTAAAAGATAAATTTGTTTATCTGAATCGAATGTGCATGTGTATAGGAGGTGACAAACTCTGCTTGTTCCTCAGATGTTTTACTGTTTGCACCTTGTCATCCCCTGGGTGTAGGAAGCTATCTGAGGCAGTCAGTCATCAGCAGTGTATGTTCTTCATGTTATGTACAGTCTTTGTGTCCAAATAAAGCAGTGACACATCCTTGTCGTCTTCCCTCCTCTCTAGTTTCGCACTCTGAACATGGTTTCTGAATGCCTTTTTTCATTGATCAATGGAGATGACATGTTTGCCACCTTTGCACAGATGCAGCAGAAAAGTTACTTGGTTTGGTTATTCAGTAGGATCTACCTCTACTCCTTCATCAGTCTGTTCATCTATATGGTGCTGAGTCTCTTCATTGCACTCATTACAGATACGTATGAAACAGTCAAGGTGAGCACAGACTGTTCATTTGGAATAATAGTGCAAGATTGGTGCTATCAGAACTCTCATCTCCCTCAATATTTTAACTTGCAGTGCATGCCAATCTAAAGAATAAATATGACTACTTTTGAGGGTACAAAGTGATGACAGGAGGGTTTTTAATCCCTCTCTACTTTGTTTTTCTTAAAAAGTCTGTCTGTTTTTCTGCTCCAATGGAAGCTAAATATCTACTAAAAAGCTGTATTTTCACATTAGGTCCTATGAATCTTCTCATTTCAGACTTGAGCAGTGTCTCAAAAGTGGTCCAGGGGGAATTTGGGTTATCCTACGTTTTATCCATGTTAAAAGTTTAATCAAGTATCAATTTTTAGCACTACCAGCAAGATGGCTTTCCTGAGACAGAACTTAAGAGATTTATATCACAGTGCAAAGACTCACCAAACTCTGGGAGGTACAGGTTAGAGGAGGAAAGTTCTGCATCTCTCTTCTGTTGTTGTAATGGTATGTATCTATATTAAAATGATCTATTAAGGTATATGCAAAAGCAGCATGCTAAAACATGTCCCTGGTACAATGTTTATGAAAAGTACTTAAATTTTGGGGGAAGTACTGTTGGGGGGCAGGAGGGGGGACTCACACAAAAATCCCAAACTATTTCAAATGAACAGAGCACTGCAGCTGACAAATTTCTAAGAAGATGTGAGGGAACTTCCAAATTAAGAATCACTTAACATGTGAAAAATTATACAGAAAGTAGGATAATATTTACAGTAACTTGGGAACCCCATATGTGTAATGTGTACGCATTGACATTTCCTGTACTCACTGCAACAAGCAGGACTTAAGAGAACTCATCCAGTGTTCTCTTATCTACTTTTTAATCACACTTTGTGCAGGTAACAGGCCTGAAACTTGGGGAGAAAATCAGCTTGTCAAGGTTTTAAGACAGCATGCAGTTTAAGATACTACCACAGCATTTGGAAAACATTGCCTGAACTTCCATTATGGAGAGAAAATGCTTCAGTTATTTGAAGCTGTGTTTCTTCAGGAATACTGATTGCAGGATATGTGGTTTATATTTAACCTGGCTGGCAGCAAGTCTGAGTCTTCCTTGCTGAAGAGCCTTTTGGTGGGAGAGCTGAGAAACACTTGCCACTTGATTAAAAAGATCAAAGGTGCAACTCTGTGGTATTGGGCTTTCCTGGTGGGCTGTACTGTTATATGCCTGATAGAACATATTTATGAGAGGGAGGAGATGGGGACATATTTTGGAGCAGGGAGATGACAGATCCTGCTGAGAGCCAGCCCCTGTTCTGACCGAGTGTCTTACTGGAGATAAAAGTGTGGGATGAAGCAGAGCAGGGCATCTTGCTCCTGGGTAAAGGGCATGGACACGTCAATATTTCCTTTTCTGCACACACCAGTCAGTTTTACCAGACAAGAAGGCCAGCATAAAATTGGACAGGGTGGGGATGTAACAATTTTCCTACTGACTGTGCAGTGGGGATCAGGCATCTAGGAGAGCAGTGAACATCATGTTCAGAATGTTTTCTGGTGGTTCATAGCAGTTTCTTGTCAATGAATGTCAAATTATTAATAGTTCAGTTGCATTTTTCAGGCTCCTTGTACAGTGAAACTATTATTTTGATGCATGTACCTGACAACTTCCCCCTCCTCTCTTGTACAGGTTGTAGTGAACGTATTTAATGGATTGTGGGAGCATATCATGGAGGCTTTAAAGCAGCACACATTGCAAGAACTGGACAATGGATCTGGTGGAAAACTTTATCTCTGAAGACTTAATTGCTTTTCTCAAAAAACAGGCCTGTGGCAGAAATTTATGCTAAAATTACAGATTTTTTTTATTAGACATTCACTGCTAGTTCAGAGGGCTTGGGGTTGGTTTTTATTAGTTTTATTCTATTTGTTTCCTCAGTTAAATTGTGCTAGAATGCAAAGGGCATAAAAACCTGTCTGTGTTCAGACTTGCCTAGATTATAAGAGTAGAATATAGATGTAATAACTTTCAACAATAAGTAGAACTAGTGCTGGACAACTTCGGCTTTGAGCACCAACCTAGCCCTCAGTACTGCAGACATTATCTGTCTGTGGCTGACCTGTTACTGAATGAATGGAAGCTCACTAGAGCCCTCAGCATTTTTTTGTTTGTTTGCACTCACAGTAAAAATAAATACTATGAAATTTGGTGTAATGTGTTTCTGGAGTCATTACAGTGAATTGATATGCAAGCCATTCAAACATAGCTGAAAGCATAAAATAAATATTTCTTTAAACACAAGTACCACTGTATGTAAGTGACAATCTATTCTCAGAGAGCTGGGATATGCCAGGCTGAACTGAAGTTTGAAGGATGAGCTGAGTGGATAAACATTCTCATGTATCAAGCACTGAGCAGGGTCAGTTACAGTCTTCAGCTTAACAGTGTTTGGATCTTACGTTTTTAAAGGAAAAATCACACAAAAACCTTTGCAAAATACCTATTTTTTAAAAATTTGAAATTTTCCTCTGGCATACAAGTCTGTAAACCTGAAGTCTAAACTAAGTTAAAGACAGAAGAGATATGTCTCTGAGAGTCTTATCTCTCCACACTTTAGAAACTGGATGTTTCCTAGCAACTTAATAATCTGCTACTGTCAGTGGCTGGCTAAAACATTAGCTCTTGTAAAAGTTCAGTTCTGACAACTTAGTTTATATTCTTTGTTGATTGTGATAATATTTAATGGATGCCTTCTTTTCTATATTCATTCTGGGAGCAGAATAGAAAACTAAAGGGAAGCATATTTTAGAGAGCTTGCATTTGTGAGCAACAGTGCTGTAGCTCTGTGTGACAATGTATAATTCTGCAGAGGACATTAAACATGTTCTGTCTGAATGCTTACATATTGTAAATGTGCTACAATAAACACAGCTGCAGTAAGTATTGGGTGTGTAAGTATTCATCTTAAGAGTAAATATGTTACCAGGTTAATGTAGGAGCTTTGTTTTTTAATAGTGCTATGCAATAGTGCATGAAATGGAGTGTGGAGTGCATGAACTTGGATTTCCTGTAGACATGATAGTTCCTGTGGGCCCTGTTTCCAGCTGATGTTTAACAGCTTCAGAATTTGCCATAGAAACATACTCAAGTATTTATCCTCCCACTAAAAGCACCCCTCAAATTCAGCAAAGCAAATCAAATGCAAGGCGCAGGCAGAACAGATTATTCACAGTATCTGAAAGTTCTGTGTACTGAGGTCCTCTTTCAACACTCACCTAAGACTGAGGACTTTTGAAGCTTTTCAAAAAGATGCAAGGCAGTCTTGCCTCAAAAAGCAAAAATTGAGTGACGGTGCTTTCTCTTGACACAATTAACTCTTAATGGATCTTTGACAACACACAAAATATAATGTGCACATCACTATTGTATACAGTAATTTATGTAAGGAATTCTGGCAAGGATGGCAAGCACTTTAAGATCAACGAAATACAGAAGGCAGACTTACATGGCTTTTTCATACAGAGTTAAGAGAAAGCTAAGATTAATAATTCACTTAAAATATAGGTACATTTTGTAAACAGCTATGGAATACTTTGTTTGCCAATACATTTATAAGGCAAGAAGTGGTCTGATTTCCTTTAGAAACTAGGTAGAACATGTGCTTTGTCACTGTTAACATTAAACTGGAAGCAAGTTTCAACAAAATTTGACAGAGCTCTAAAGTATCAAATTCTTACAGAGTTTTATAGTAGCAGAGAGAAAGCATGTTAATAGAAGCCTGCAGTATGAGCATAAGGCATGGAAAGCTACAACAGGTGCCACAAAGCAGAAAAAGATACTTTATATAGATTCTTTCTCTTCCTAATACAAGTGGCAAAGTTTTCCACTGAAGATTGGTTTCTATTGCTCGAAGTGAAGCAGCAAAATCCCTTGTAGAGTCTTTAAGTGATGACCTGTGCTTGTGCTACAGCTAAAAAGTCAATCAACCAACATGCAGAAATTATTTGGAAAACCATGGTCTGTGTTACTTCTGCTGGGTTCAACAACTTCTAATTTAGGATTGCTGGGAGTTGTGTGGGTTCGGGAAGGAAAGAGTTGATGAATTACAAGTTGCCTTCAGACAGTAATGGGCAGGGGCAGACTGTGAAGCCAGAGGGGAGGGCTATCTAAAAGGAGAAGGATGTTTAAAGCAAAGCATAGGATGGGGTGAGGGGAAGAGACAACTGCTTATAAATTTAGCAGGGCAGCAACCGTGTATTTCTGGCTATGGGTGTAGGCTGCTACACTGTGGAAGAACAGTACCCTGAAAGGTTACTGGCTTACAGAATGTCCAGTTCTGTCTGAGAAAATAAGTGCTGCTTGTATTACATACCTGATACTTACATTTATTTTTAAGAAAAAGACACTCAAGCACGTGTTGTTCACCTTGGTGCTACTGCTGGCAGACTAAGTGTTTTCTTGTCCAGGTTTCTGACCTGCTTGATCCTTGGTGTTTAAGATCTTCATCTGAGTATTTTGCTCACCTGAGAAGAAGCGAGGAAATGCTGTGTTTTCTAGCCTGCTGGCTGCATTTGAGATGAAGTACAGCTCTGCCAGTCTGTGGCTGCTGCTGTTATGTGTGGGGTGAGGGTTTTTAATCTTATCAATGTGCTGGTTATGGCCTTGCTGAGCCAAGATGTGTGACAATGATCTTACTCTAAAAAACTCCTTGTGACTTCAGTGTATCAGTGATTTCAGCATTAGCAATGCTGGTAGCACATGTAAAGCTGCATCCTGGAGACATCGGTATCTTTATGCTGATACAATCAAGCAGGCACAGATAGAACTGTAAAATGCAGTTGGGGAGAACAAGGAAGCAGACAAAGCATCTGATAAACTCATGCTTAAATATGCCATCCTAAGGGAAACAGCTTTCAGCCCTGACTGAGAAGTTGAGGAGGGTAAGAGATTTTCTTTCTTCTGATTCTCACTAGGCTCTAGAAAGTCACCTGAAAATACCAATAGTCAGTATTTCCTCATGAAAGTAAGATGCAGAGTGCTATATTGGGCAACAGCTGTTTTAATACCAAGGCTTATTTCAATGCCAATGTTTTGCATATACAGTTAGGGAGAACTTGTTTTCAGCAGAGCCCAGATCTTTTAACAAAATGAAGTTACACTTAGAGGAAGAGGTGGTGGGCTTACTCGTTTCTAAGTACCAGTTTCCATGTTGGATTGAAGCACATTCTCAAGGGAAGGTAAACAGCGTGTGTGCGAAAGAGTAAGAAATGAAATTCAGATGTGCTCATACCTACCCAGTATTAAAATGTGCAAAAGCATAGTTTATCTGGCAGATGTGGGGACAGGAATGGAGACAACAGGTAGGACAATACACAGGCATTGCTGTAAAAAACAAAAGCTGTGGCTGGACCTGTGAGGAGCATCCTCCTGCCTCAAGCAGTAGCTAATAGCAGAGGAAGCCTTAAGAAAACTTTCATGCATGAGCTGACACAATGCTCTTGCAGCTAATGTTGAGAAACTGCGTATGGATGTTTGTCTGGGCTTTTGTTCCTTCTTCTTCCTTACACAGTGTGGTCACAACCAAATACAGCATCATCTGAGAGCATTATGTAAGAATCCTGTGCTGCCCATGCTCACTGGGTGGGCAGGTAGAGAACTCGGTTGCTGCAATGATGCCTCTTACGAGTCTACATTCTGTTTGAACGCCTTGGTTTGGAGCAACTGCATTAAACCACATCCTCTGAGGAACTAAATACCTCTTGACCTGCAAGACGACCAACTCTGTAGTAGCTAATCTCACTTGCAGTCTCCCTGCATGTTACGTAAGTCTCTACAGCTACTAGCTGGCAGTAAGGTAATTGCTGTTATCGCAGAATCGGAGATTATGCTGAGTTCGGAGGGGACCCACAAGGATGATCCAGTCCGACTCTCAGCCCTGCACAGGACATCCCCGAGTGTCACACCAGCCCCGCATGGGACATCCCCAAGAGTCACACCATGTGCCTGAAAGCACCGAGCCTTACTCTTGCAGGCAGAGCCCGCGCTCGGGTGCGGGCCCGCGGGCGGCCGGGCCGGGCTGCGCAGGGCACGTGGCCGGCGGGCGCCCTCCTCCGCCGGGCCCATAAAGGCGGCGCGGCCGGCGGGGCAGGGTGCGGGGCCCGGGCTGCTCCGCCGGAGTCCTGCCCCGTTCGGGCAGCGGCCGAACCCCGGCGGGCCCATGGAGATCCCCCTCAAGTCCCTCCCCGGCGGGCCGGCCGCCGCCAGCGGGTGAGGGAAGCGGGCCGGGCCGAACCGAACCCTCGGGTCAGCGCGCCCGGCGGGCAGCGGGGTCAGGGCGCTCCTTCGCCGGCGGCCGGGGCCGCCATAGCAGCGGGGGCGCGGGGAGGGCGGGGAGGCGCTCGGGAGGGGCTCAGGTGGGCAGCGGGCTCAGGTGGGCAGCGGGCTCAGGTGGGCAGCGGGCGCGGCACACCCGTGTCTCAGGTGCCGCACAGGTAGGTCCTGCGCTCCGCCAGGACGCGGGCCGGCAGCGGGCGGCAGAGGAGCTCCCGCGGCAGCCGAGCGGGTGGTGAGCCCTGCACGGGAGGGCTGTCCCCTCCATTTCGGAGAAGCTAGGGGCGATGCCGTCCTCTGGCAGAGTGCTGAGCTTAGTTAGAGATCGACAAGGGGAAGCTGCGGTTGCCTAGGCTGATATGTAGAACTCAACTCAGTGGTGGGGGTTTTTCGGGTTTTTCGGGTTTTTTGGGTTTTTTCTCCTTCTTGCCCCCTTAGGACCCCCTCGTTCTCGTTAATATCTCTTCAAGATGCAGAGCTCAAGTAGATAAATACCGCTGATACGGAGCTCTGATGGACACTGATAGTGTCGCTACTCACTGTTACAGCAGTTAGTTACTCATTAAAGAAAGTGGCTGTGCTCACCTAATAAGGGCATTTTAGCCTCTTGATTCAGTGGTGCTTTTTCTGCTGGGTGAAGAGCTAACTACTACAAGTGTGTTTCATAAGTAGGTAGCTGTAAATTGTAGTCCTTACTGTAGAAACCTCTTTTCTTGAGTGGAATGTTGAGCTCTACAATGCCTCTCTACAAAACAGCCAAACAGCGGACTGTCCTACCAGCTACAGCAATAAGGCATTTGTTACAGTAATGCAGCTGTTAGAATTGAGTTGCTAACAGTTTTAATATATGAGACACATAACACCTGTATGTGCATCTAAACATGCATTACACAGTCTTCATTCACAAAAAATTTGGTAGTGTCACAAAGCACTCTATGGAGGCCCATTGAGTGGTGTTAATTACACTAGCGTGTCAGAATTTAGTTGCTTCATTGCTCTGTCTTGAGCTGGGTACTTTGTTTCAATTAGGTTTGGATTATTAGGCTAATGACCATGTGGTAGAACTAGATGGTTTGTTTAAAATATGGTATGTCACTGGTAATCTCTTGGAGCTTTTAAACTTCTTCAGTGCTTTGCTTGAAGGTTCTAGTTCTGCTGGTTTAATGTGGTCTATTTGGATGCAATTTTTAATCTATCCTAGAAACGAATGAATTGAAAAACAGTTGATGTGTTTTACCTGTTTCACCTGCTTAAGAAATGAATTATTTCTTCAGTACTACACCAGATAATGCCTGGTTTTTATTGGAAGACAAAGTCAAACAGTGATACAGGCTTGAATCTTGGATCTCTCTTAAGCTGAAAAAATGTGTCATTTTCTTTGACAGATATCCTGCTCAGAATTTCTACAGTTAATTAATAAAGGGAGTTAAAGACATCAGTGAAATTAATGCCTAGCCACAAATGAGAGTTGTGTAAAGATGAAAGTGCTATTAATGAACATCAAGTTTTTGGCATAGCTGCACAGTCTTGACACACATCTTTGAATTAAACCATTATGTTTTTCATGATACCTGTTTGAATATCAAAAAACCAAAATGTTTATTATAAAGTTTGATGTTGGATTTGTGGGGGTTATGGCCTTTTTTTGGTTTTGTTCATTTATTTTTTTGTTTTTTAAGATTTGTCACTTCCAATATGCTTTTACTGGAAACTTAGGGGAGGGTTTTGCTGAAGCCTTGGAATGGTTCTTATGTCATACCTTCATGCTTTAAAATTTGACCAGATTCAGCTTAACCCTGTTCTGTTTCCTCTTTCCTTCCCACCTTCTCCTGTCACTTTCACTCTGGGTTAGCTCTTGTTCACTGTGTACCCACACAAATGCTCCTGCCTGTTGGAGAGAAGCTGATGCAGGAGCAGTGATGTCTTTGGGTGTCAATGCAGGATTGCAGTATGTATTTCCTTAATCAATGCTGACAGCTGTAATTATCACATGCACTTCTGTCAGGTGTGTTTATATCTTTCAAGGTTTTTGTATTGTAGACATTACTAAAGCTAGTCCAGTATGTTTTTATTATAAGTTTAAATAGAGATGCTGCCCACAGTTTCTTTTTCTTGGGAACTTCCCAATGTTTTTCCTGCTTCAAAAACCAAAATCATCCTGCCTCTCATCATCTTCATGAAAAACTGATTTAAGGCTGTGTAGGGAAGATGACTTTTGAGTTTTTAACATTAAAATATATTTTTTGTTGTTTTCACTTCCTCTTCTGAGGAAACACCATAGTGTCAGCTTTACTGTGCTTCTTTAACTGAAATGTCTCTTCTTGTGAGACAGCTGGTTCTAGCAAATCAAACATGCTTTGTGATCTGCAGTTTGAGCTTAAATATCTGTGTACTTCAGATAAGTGAGGACACAAAAAGTAAAAAATGAAAAAGTATTCCAAGTATCTGAAAACTTGGAATCAATGCTTTTGGTTTTGAGCCTCAGACAAAATGTTATCCTTTATAAAATTCAGAGCATTGGGAATGACATTCTGAATGGTAAATGGGACTGATAATCACACGGTGTCAGATATGATCCTCTTAACATGTAAAGAGAGAAAAATTACAAGTTTGGTTCTGATCTGTGTGTGAAGTAGGAAAGTTCTGAAAACTCACAATGCTGGAAAACAGGGTTAAAATGATCAGCAGATGGGGAAAGCTTTTTCAATGTCCCATTCAGTTGAGAAGGAGAAACATAAGGTGATTTAAAACACAACAACAGTACTCTGTACTCGGGCCTCCGATTTTTACATGCCCAGGTATTTAAATAAATAAATGTCTATGAATTTAGCCCTTGAAGCTGCATGTTCATAACAGAAGTGTGTGTAAAGCCTGCTCTGGTTTAATCTTTAAGACATCTTTTTCTTCTGCTAGAATGTGGGTTATCGAGACAAATATGTTAACATTGGTCCTTCTTTGTTTCAAATGGATTTTTGAAAGAGTAATAGCAAGTCTACATTTCTTTCTGTTACAGACCCTCTTATTTAATGCCTACTAATTATTTGTCTAAATTATGTGTTTTAATGATCAGATGTGTTTGAATGATTTTTAATGATGTGATCACAGGGAAATATTTTTTGCATTTCTGTAAAATAACCCAAAAAGTGTTTTGGACCTTTTCTGTCATGTGGTGATCTGTGATGACACTGCAATGAGCAAATGGTCTGCCAAAGCATTCTGTTGGTTTCTAATTAATATGTTATTTGTGGCAGAAATATGATGACTCAATCAGATTTAGATCTAAAAGAGACGGCTTTGAAAGAGGATTTGAAGTTTTACTTCATGAACCCATGTGAAAAATACAGAGCAAGACGTCAGATACCATGGAAATTGGCTTTGCAGATTTTGAAGATACTTATGGTTACGACACAGGTAATCCTCTGTTTTTACTCTTAGAGTGGCAGTGATGTGCAAGAGAAGCCAGCCTGGGCTTCTGGGCCTTTAGCATCCCTGGGTATTTGTTACTGGCTTGAACTGCCCTCTTCAGTCCGTAAAGAAAAAATACTATGAGAGGTATTTCAACAGGGAAGAATAATATCAATTACAAAAGCCTCCTGGAGATTTTTGGGGCAGTGTTTGACCAGGTATTTTGTCATTTTTAACATAACACTTTAAAGCAAGTTACTCTTCCCACTAAATTCAGCACTGTCTTCAGGCTTGTTATCACAATCACTGCTTTTTGTTACATTCTTAGATAAAAGTTTCACTGGACTATTTCAAAAGTGACATTTCCTGATATCTAATCAGAAAATTAAAGTGCCCATATTCAGTGGGAAGATGCTATGGTTTCTGATGATGGGATTGCTGAGCTGCAGGAATTGGATGTGCCTCTTGCTTCTTCAGATAACGCATTTGAAAAGTTGTGTACTGTTTGAGATGTGGAGGTAAAGAGGGTGTTTGTAAACTTCAGTGGTTATTTTACAGTCCTCTAATACTGACTGCAGGTGGAGGGAAGCAGAATGGGACACACATATAGGTAGAAATTACTTTTTCTGAGCCTTTGAAATGCAAGTCTGACATCTGACAAGTTGCAAGAACAGCTAAATATACATGCTGAGTTGTGGGATCCCTGGTTTGTGTTTGAGTTGCCTGCTACGAATGGAGTGAAGCACAGCCCCAGCTGATGTGTGCTGGTGTTTTATTGACCGTGGCAGGCTCTGGGGTCTGGCCACTTCTGGTGCCTTGCTGTGCCCAAATCCTGACAGGCCTCTCTCTGCAGGCAGGAGTGGGATGCACTGGTTGGTCTGTCTAGGCATAGCAAATTGAAATAAGAGATTTACACTACTGCTGGCACAATTGTGACCTGTAGAGACAGAGCTGATGGGGACAGGGCTTGTATTAAAGTGTGTGGGGCAGGGAGGTGGTGGGCAGTGTGAGCACAGTGCAAGCTGAAAGGAAGGTGTGCCCTGGCTTTCTTTGCTGGCAGCTGCACCTCATATATGGGTTGTTCCTCTTCCTTCAAAGACTGGGCAGTAAACTTTGCATGTGAATGATGACACGAAGCACGACTTCACATGTCTCTGAAAAGGTGCAGTACTGCCATCTGTCCTAACCTACTTACTTCAATTTTTGGGGGTATCACTGAATATGTAATTTTTCTGTCTGCTACCCCAGTCTCCCACTATCCTTTCTGAGCAGAAGGGGTGCTCTGCTGCCTGGTTTTCAAAGGCCACAAGATTTTCTGAACTGCTGCTTGAGACTTTTCTTGTCAGCCCTTGGTTTTGCTCAGATGTCAGATTCGTAGCTGGGGCTTGGGGATATCCTCCTGCTACTGTACCTATGAAGAAGCCCTTGCTGGAAAACCAAGCAGTTTCTAGGCTCTGCCTATGTTCTACTTGGTGTTGGAAATGGGAACAGCCATATGTCAGGGGAACACAAATCTTCAGTAGTAACTCTGCTGTTTGTTGTTTTGTTCCTGTTCTAGCCTCCTTAAGCAGCAGCTGGGTCAGGCAGGTGATGCTTTTTATTGCTGTAGGGTCCCATGTAGGTTTGCACTAATCCTGTGCCATGCCAGGGGCAGGAAAGGTGCAGGAATTTGTCCATGGCAAAGCAGCCCATTTCAGGGGTATCAGGTCGTGCTGTTGAGTTAGCTTGTCTGCCCTTGGCATCCTCCACAAAGGTTTTTGCAAATCCAAGTTGGAGCTGTTGGTCCATGATATGTAAAAGGTGCAAGTGATGTAGCTGTCTGTTCAGCTGCCACACTTAGATTTGTTTCACTTACCCTGCATGTGATAACCTTGGCTTTGGTGATCTCATGCCATCAGTTAATAGATTCTGTGCTCCTGCTCTAGCAGAGTTACAGCAAAAGGCACCTGTCTGGTTTGTAATTTATTTATTTATTGTCATTTAAAGCTGTTTCCAAAATTTTGCTGCTTGACCACTGTTCAAAATTCAAATCTGTTTCTTTCTCTTGTCAGCTTGTTTTTTTTGGTTTGAGTAACCAGCTGGTGGTCTCATTCAAAGAGGAAAACACTGTTGCTTTTAAACACCTATTCCTGAAAGGCTATTCTGGAACTGATGAAGATGACTACAGCTGCAGTATATATACACAACAGGATGCTTATGATAGCATTTTTTATGTTATTAATCAGGTAGGTATGAGTGTGTGTTTATAATTGTGTTAAAGCTGAAGCTACATCTGTAAACTTCTGCTAAGTTTCTGATTTTCTGTTTCTAATCTTAGATTTCAGTTGGGTATTTCAGTAAATCAGCATAGATGGGGTGTCCTGAAGTTTTTGATGTAGATGAATTTTTGTCTCTTGGGGATGAATCCAAAGCAGAATTTTGCTCAGGTAGTTCTTAATACCAAAATCCAGAAAATCTGAAAATTGATCATCTTGCATGAACTGGAACCTTGGTTTAGATCTTACTTTGAAGACCTATGGGCCTGAGTTATACCTATGTATGCTTTAAAAAATATGTTGTTAACAGCTCTCCTGAACTGCAGCTTTGTAGTGAGGGCTGGAGGCCTCAAAATGGGGAATATAGCACTTTGGAGTATAGAGGCATTCAGGATGGTATTTTAAAGAACAGTCCCATTACAATTTTCAGGGCAAAGTGAACAAATCTAGGATGAGAATTCTGGAAATGTTTTTGTATTTAATATTAATACATTTGGAAGTCACAAGATGAAAGACTCTGGAATATGAAATGTCTCTTGCATTGGGAATGATGATAAACCCAGAAATTATTAACACTGGAAGAATAAAAAGTGGCTTTTAACCAGCTTTCATTTTCACTGGCCTTGAACCATGAGCTCTGGCACCTGGATTAAAGCAGTGTTGCCACTGCAGCTGTGCCCAGCAGCATCTGGGCGTTGCAGGGCTGTGAAGGGCCAGACCTCATCTCAATCATCCACTCGTGGGGGCTTGCTGCTCTCCTGTCCTCTCCTGTAAGCTACAGCAGAGCCACCAGCAGATCAAATGTGCTGGACAGGACCAAAGACTCTCATTCCTGGCATTTTCAATTAATGGTGAAGTAGTTTTCTCAATCTTTCTTTGAACTCTCCATATTGCCGCTGTTTCTGCAATAAACCATACTTGCTTTCTTTTTTCCTTCCTTGCTTGCTTTGTTTCACTTTCCTTCTTTTGTAGGCACTAAGGCTGAGATGAATTCCAGATACAAGATAGTAGAGAAATAATAGCTTTATATCCTCAAGAATGAGCCAGGCATCAGAAAAAGGTCTCTCCATAAAATGTCTTTGTGGTATAAATGTAGTCATATCATTTAAGGAGATTTAAATTGTGAAAACTGGATTCTTTAGTGTCCTGTGGCATTCCTGAGACTTTTATGTCACATGTAAGAATTCAAAAAGCATGCTTTCAGGTGAACATTGACTACTGTTGCCTTTATTTTGTCTGCCTTTAGAGGGTGCCTTGTGTGAAGAGCCAGTCTAGATAACTCCTAAACTAAAAGCAAAGGTTTTTTTTTAATTTATTTTTTTTGAGATGGGCAGCTAGAAGACATGGGATTTGGTGTTCTGGTTTGTATTTTTGAAATGCATGGTTGGGTGGGTGAAGCAAAAGGATATGGCATTATGGAAAATAATAATTATGCACAGCAAAGATGGAGTTGTAAAAACTGAATTTTAGCCTTTGTGTAATATACCACTGGGGATATTTGAACACTTTGTGAAAAAACCCCAAACAGAGCAGCAACATAAAACCTCAAGCATACATTTACACTTGGAAGAGTACACAGGTTTTCCTTGTTTCTCTATTGCCTTCAAGCTGAAGTTTCTATTACAAAGCAGCTGTGTGAATTTGTTACTCTTGTGCTCTGCCCTGTTGCAGAGCCTGTAAGACCAGGATATTCTGCTGCTTGCTAGGACATTTATAAGCAGGAATTTTGCTTTTACTGTTTCATAGTGTTGTTTGAAAGTGGCATGTGGGTAGCCCAGCACCTCGTGCTGTGCTGTCAGGAGGGCAGAGCCCCAGAGCACACGTGGGTGGGGCAGCAGCTGCTGCATGCAGTGATCTGGAGAGGTCCTCGGTGGGAACAGGAGCTGTGACTAAACTGCTGTTTCCACTCACTTGACCTGCCTTAGTCAGATGTGGCTTCCTTATCTTGCTCTGAGTTCAGACCCTGGCAGGGTGAGGAGGCCGTGCTTTACTCCTGGGCTGTCTAAACTGGGTACTCAAAGTGGCACTGCAGGGCAGAGCTTTGCATACAGGTGTGGTAGTTTCTGTTGTAGTTCCAGTTCTGCACATGGAGTGTGTGGTTGTTAATGGCTGGTGGGATGTTGTACCTCACAAGATGGGCTAGTGGCCACAGTGCCCAAAGGAAGGGGGAAATAGGATGACAATGAAGCATAAGAAGGAAATCTGTGCTAAAGGGGAAAAGGGGCTAATCTTAATCAAAGCCAGCTGAACAAATTTTTAAGTAGTAGCAAACTTTGCCTGACTCTCTATGTTTGTTTACTTCAGGCCTCCAAGAAAGTTAAATGCTTTTTTTGAGAGCAGACCACTCCTGTATGCTGCCCTGAGCTCTTTTTCTAGATCGGGTGATGATAAAAACTAACACTTTGCTATGAGTTTATGCATTCTTCCCCAAAAGGCCATGGGTGTGTCTGGCTTCTCTTGGACAGTGTTAGCTCTTGGGAAACTGAGCTGGCAGGCAGTTGCCTTCATGGTTAGTCATTGATCTTCTGTCCTTCTTGGGTAGCTGTTGAGGAGCTAAGGGACACCAGAAGAGCTGTGCCCTGGGGGCTTGCCTTGCTTGTGCAGGGATGGAAGGTGTGACTCCAGGGATCAGAGCGTAGCTCTTGCTTCCAGTAGACACCAAGGCTGTGTGGAAAGCAAGTCTGGAGGGGACTGGTCTGGAATGTAGTTCTTGGTGTTGCTCAGGGCTGATCCATGTTTGGACAACGCTTGGTTTGGGACAGCTTTATTTGCTTCCACTTTCAGTCCTTGTTTTCAAGAGTATCTTGCAAACAAAGAAGGTGACTTGTGCTGTATTTTGGAGTAAGTGGAAAAAGAAAGTACCTTCCTCACAGGCATGTTTTCAGCTGCTTCTGTGGTTGTGTAAAGCAGGCAGGTTAGGTTACTTTTGGAGGCTGCTCGAGCTCTGTGTGCTCCCTGGTTGCTGGTTATATAGTGAATGCATGGCTTTCCTCTTCTATGGTCACACAGGGAGCTGCTCTGCTTTTGATCTTGGTGTGGATTTGATAAGAACTGTGACTTGGATCACGGTACAACAGTTTCAAGTGGTGTGAAAACTATCACCTAATGAGGTGCAGATATCCCTGGGGGGTGTGTGGTCAGCAGCAGTACTGCGCTGGCACAGGGCTCCCTGTCACTGTGTCACCAGGATGCTGACCACTACTACTGAGTGGCCAGCAGTTCTCTTGTCTGTAAACTGAATGGGAAGCTTTTATGTGAAAGTAAAGATTTTTTTTTTGAAATTAAAAAACCTGTATTGATACATATAACTTTGAGGTTTCAATTTGCTATGTAATGCAAAAAAGGATAATTTTTCTCCAACTTCTACTTCTGTTTTTGTTTTTAAACCTAGTACAGGCACTTGAAGAACATATCCCTGGGGACACTTGGTTATGAACATGAAGAATCAGGTTTAAAAATCTGTAAACAACAGTACAAGAGAAGCACAATGCTTCCTTCTAATGATACACTGAACATAGATGTTTCTACTGAAACAGGTACAGTACTTTAGTACTTAAAATGTCTTGCTGTGGAGTACTTAAATTCTTGCTCTAAAGCTTAAAACCAATAGCTTTCTGTGTGGCAATCACAGGAACATTACCATGCTGCTTGCCTATTTCCCTCTTGGTTTTCAGTGCCTGTCTAGAAAAGACAGCTGTGATTATGAGAGGCTCTCTTCAACCACCTACAACCTTTGTAGTTGATGGTGAGGTGATGTTTTGTTGTTCTTTTTCTTAAACACGCCTCTTCCCACTCTGTGCAGGAGGCTCAAATACAGAATTCTGGATGCTGGTCAGTCTGTCCCTTTCATGGGTGGGTGCCCTTACTGCCCCTCAGAGCAGAGTCCTGGCTGCTAGCTGCTCACGAGTTAGGACACAACAAACCTGCTTCTGACCCCACTAGCTGGGCCTCTGAATAGGTTTGCTCAAAATTAATGCTTTGCCTGTTTAGGACTTGCTATACACACTGATCGTCTCAGTTTAATGCTACTTTCAATGTGAAGTTTTTATGATAACATATTTTCCTCTTGTCTTTCCAGAATGTATCCTTTTAAAGCCCAAGGAGCTAACTGGTAAGAAGGCAGAACTGAAGCTGAACTCTTCTTTTTTCAATCTTGAATTTTACAGGTAAAGCAATGGGGTTTTTTAAATTATTCCCACTTTTCCTTTCATATTAATATGGCGGATTCTGATTTGTGCAGTTTGTGTATATTTCTGTGATATTTAGATATATTTGTATGCTTTTTCAACTTTCCAGGCTTATACAGGTTGAAATCTCCTTCAAGCTGAAAGGCATTGCTCTACAGACAATCCATGCCCGTGAATTGCCTGACTGCTATGCATTTCAAAATACTGTAAGTGAAAATAGGCTGTGGCACTTCCAGTACTGCATCTGTAATGAGAACTTAAGCTGAGGTGTAGGTGTCATCCTCATATCTAGCCTCATCCTCATATGCAAGAGAAACACAGTTGAGCATGTCCTGGCCCTTACCCCTCCTTCCCAAAGGTTGCTGAAATGGTGTTGCCGTGGGACAATGTTGCTTTGTAACATATTCCAGTTGGTAAGCTGAGAAAGGGGTAAGGAATTGTTCTTCATCTAAAGACTAAGTGTGAAGTTTGGCCTCTTGGAATACTGGTCATTAGGCAATACATATAATCTACTCAAATTATGTCTACATCATCACTTATGGTGACAACTTTCTTAAAGCCCATCTGATCAACAATATTAATGCATGCTGTGTCCAAAGCACTTAGTGGGATTTATTTTTCTGGAATGCAATCTTGCTAGCCCTGTTTCTGATGTAGCTCTGTATTTTCAGATAACTTTCAATAATAGAGCCCACAGTGGAAAAATCAAGATCTACTTTGATAGTGACACTGACATTCAGGAATGCAAAGACTGGCACATATTTAACTCAGGTAAGTATGGTGCATGTATGTTTGCTTAACAGCAGTTATGCATCTCCCATTGCTTTCCCTGGTCTGTAGAAGTCCTGTTCATCCCTCTGCCCATAAAACAATGCCACTTGCCTAATGCAATTCAGTACCTCTTGCTAATCAAGAGGTAGGAAATAATTCCTTTTGTTTGGGTGTTGTGAGATGACACGATCATCTCTGCATACCACTGTGTGTTAGTGAGCTCTACCTGCAAGGAGGATGAATGTTCTTCCATAGATTTTTAATTGTGCTGCTCTGAGATAACTCAGTTTAATCCACTAACTGGATAAATTTCCAGCTAAAGTCTCCTATAGCTTTCTTTTTTTTTTTTTCTTCTAACTGATTGAAGCATACTATTTCTGAAAGTTTCTTTTTCATGTTGGCTTATTTTTTTGCCACTGCTGGTAGATTAAATGATGTATATGAACAAAGGCTGGTATCTGCCATGTATTGCTAGTGTTAAGGCTTGGTCTGACAGCTCAGGAATGTGCACTAAGGGCCCCAAAAAGGAACAGTAAAAATGTGTGACAGCACTGTGCAACTGCTTCTCCCATGTGTTGACTTGCCTGTGAAGCCTGTAAAGGCCTGTGATGGAACAGAATTTTTCAGTGTGCTATAAATATATATCTTGATTAATGAATGTCAAGTGGCCTGCCTTTGGCCTTGGTAAAGCCAGCTTTTCCCTCGTAATGCTGTGTTGTAGCGATATTGAAGTGGTAATTTATAGGCTATTCTGAATAACCTCAAAGTGCCTTGGCTTGTATCTTTGTCCAGTAATTTATTGTGGCTGTCTTTCAACTACCTGTTCTTGTTTATTTTGTGTCTAATTACCAGCTGAGGGAGCATGCATAATTCAGTAATAAAAGTGTGCTGAAGGGCTATTGCAACAATTAAAAACAAGTCTTGGCCTCTATTTCATGTATTTTAAAGTGTATGTTATGGAGAGGATGGGGACCATTGATGTGAGGAAGCAAAGGAAGACACCTAATTTGTGTTCACATGATGGCTTTTAAACTTGTAGATGAAAACAAAACAGTCCAGAAAGTCCAACAAGTTTCTTATTGCAGACTTTATTGTGGGAATTTTTTTTTAAAATTTGATGGTGTCAATACAGACCAAAGCTGTGTTTCTTTTGCCTCATGTAGTTGTAACACTGTGGAAGAACAGATGGACAGGTAAAAAGGAGGATACCTGTATTAACATATCCATTTTTGGGTTTATTTTGAAGAACTTGAACATATTTTTCATTCTTGTGGCCCAGTCTCTATGACTGTCTTGATATAATTCTCTGTTGAGCTGTGTTCAAGATATGCTTGCAGGAAGAATACAGCTTGTAACCCATCTGCATATGGGGTGAGAGTATCTGAGCATGAATTGTTACAAAATGTCACATAACTTGTATCAAAAGAGATGTGGAAAAACTAACCTTACTTTATTTCCTTGGCTCTTTACAGTTCTCCAGAGGAACACTCAGTATATTCTCGTCTTTGATGGATTTGTCATACTAAGTTGCTTGGCTTCTCTCATCCTCTGCACACGATCCATCGTTCTTGCCTGGAGGCTACAAAAGGTAAGCCCAGTGCTCATGACCTTAATGCTAATTTGGTCTCTGCCTCCTTTGCTGATGGTCTTGTGAAGGGGCACCTGTTGAAACACGGAGTATTAAAGTGAGTAAATCTGTTGCAAGATGTCCCTCTTACTGTTATCTCTAGAAAGGATGTGTAGGTATCTTGATGAACCATTGCTAACTGTGAATGGATTTTATTTCTGTGTAGTGCTGTAATTGGAAGTATTTTGTTGTATCTCTCAATGGGCAAAAGGAGACTTCCCCTAACCCCCTCAGGATTTTAGGCAAAAAGGCTTCTAAGTCTTTGTGCTGCAAACAGGCACTGTGTCCTGCATCTCCAAACCACAAGTCTTTCTTCTGTGGCTTCAGAGTGGAATTCCTATAGAGGTCTAGTCGTAAATTAATGCCTTAACAAACATCCCTCAAATCCAGCTCTGACTGGAGAAAATGTAAAGCATAGGACATAGTCTAACTCTGGCTGGTTTTTTTTTTTTATAAACACGTGGCTCATGAGAGTTAGAAGAGTCCAGGGTAGGTAGGATATGAAAACACTAATACTTGTTTATCCAGCTCAAGATATCCTTTTTGTAGCTTGGAAACAAGACCAAGAGGACATGATTCAACATTGTCAAACTGCTGTCAGGAATAGGCACTTCACATTTATTCCTGAGCAAAAAGAGCGAGTGAAAGCAGATGGGCAGTGCTGGGCATAGAGGTGATATTGTTTGCTCTCTTGGAAATGAGAACTCTTGCTCTGTAGTTCCATTTGATTTCTTTTTCACTTTCTTAGCTGGCTGGCCTTGCTCTGTCAGAAGTGGATAGAACCTATGGTAAAGGAGATAACAGGCCATGGTTATGTTAGTGGGAATGGGTTATGAAATCAGGTGTTTTGCGGAAAGTTTATTTTCATTGGCCTAAATCTACCTTAAATTTTTTCCTGTTTATTTCTGTTGCTGTTGAGAATTAGCTTTAAACTACTAGTCCAGCAGACACTATAGGAAAAGGGGTTATGTGGAACTTGAATGTTGCCATGTTTTTAACCCAAGGAGACCTGTAACTAAACATCTAAATGCTTGTCACCAGAGATTTGTGAGTTTCTTCTTGGAGAAATACAAGCGCCGTGTCTGTTATGCTGATCGCCTGGAGTTCCTAAATGGGTGGTATGTCCTGGTAATTATCAGTGATGTGATGACAATCATTGGGTCAATCCTAAAAATGGAAATAAAAGCCAAGGTAAGAATTTCATACTTCAGCTAAAATACTAATCTTGCTACAACCATGTGTAATGTGCTTTAATTTGGGGACAGGTAGAAGTGAACTGTAATAGTCAATAGTCATCTGTTTGCTTAGTTTAGTCCATTTCCTAGTGCTAGTTTATCTAATAACTACTTTCAGTCACTCTTCCCCAAAGTTTTTCAGAAAGACCATATAAGCTATATAAACATCTTATTTCTACAGTGCCAAGACCCCTAATCCCTGGCATGGGGCCTGTGGGTAGACAGTTCCTAACAGAAAGACCCAACAATTTGAATTCTTAGTTCTGTATGAAGTAGTAGCACGTACAGTACTGGGAAACCACGAGTCATCCCCTTGATGAAAGGTGGGGCTTGGTGGCTTGTAGGACTGGAAGCATCGCTGTCACAGCTTGCTTTCCTGGCAAGCATGGGCACAGACAGTGTCACCTGCTCGTCCTTGGCCTCCCTGCCTGGGCTTGCTGAAATCAATGTGCTTTGTCCAGCTGGCAGCTCTTCAGGAGGCTTTTTGGGTTGGTTTTGTGGTTTTTTCCTAGGTTGTGGGTTTTTTGGTTTTTTTTTTTTTTTTGTAATCTTCAGTAGATGTGTGTCAACAGTACATGTGTTCACAAAACTTTGTATTCTGGGAAAAACAGAGTAGGTGGTGTGCTGCTCCTGCTTCGTGTGTACTGAGGCTCAAAGGGCAGGTCCCAGAGTGGCCTTCAGAGGAAGCGCTTGGGAGTCACTGTCTGTAGGGTGAGATGGGGGTTGAGGGTAGGAAAACTTGAGCTCGATGGGTCTCTTGTGCTTCCTGCAACCAGTTCTAGCCTTCTAAAGTAAAGTGCAAATGGATTTGGTTGTAAACTGTAGTAAAAACAATGCTCAGGTTCTGAACTGCTGTCAGAGAGAGCCTGTTCAGAGCTGTAAATGTATGTAATCATGGAAAGAGCTGTAGTCCCAAGGGTCACTTTTCATGTAAATGATGGCTCATGGTTTTTTAAATAGTGAATGAGAGCTTCTTTGCCTAACAGCGAATAGTAACCTTCTTTTTAAACAAAAAAATTGAGTTATTCAATCTAATTTTGAAACTGTGTTGTAACCAAACCAAGGGCTTTTGTTCTTCCAGACTTTGCACTTCTACAAAATTTCAAGAATATCAGGTGTATTTCCATTTGCAGTACTGTTGTTTGAATGATCTCAGTAAATAACTACAGTTCACATTGATCTAATTTCTGTGATGTAGCAACAGGATTTCAGTATTAGACTGCCCTGCTTTGTTTATTTGAACTGCTGTAACTTGAATAGTTGTCAAGCTGATATATCTACTGCTTTGTAACTTGACTACCTGCTCTGTTTGGATCCCTCAGAACCTCACAAGTTACGATGTCTGCAGCATTTTACTTGGAACATCAACTTTGTTTGTCTGGGTTGGAGTCATCAGATACCTGGGATATTTTCAAACCTACAATGTAAGGAGGGACTCAAATGTCTAACAACTGAAGTATATATAAATATACACATATACATGTCACTTTTTTTCACAGGTTTCTCTCTGATTTTTTGCTTTTTTTTTCCCTTCTTTTCTCCACTCTGACTTGTAGGTGCTCATTTTAACTATGCAGGCATCGTTGCCAAAAGTGCTAAGGTTTTGTTGCTGTGCTGGGATGATCTATCTTGGCTATACTTTCTGTGGATGGATTGTCCTGGGGCCTTATCATGAAAAGGTACATCAGCACCTTTGTAATGGTGTAATGATGGGAATGTCTGTGTTTATAACTCCTAGCCAAACCAACAGAAATGTGTCTTAAATGAAAATGTCTATTTGAAAGCTGTAATGTGAATGTGGGAGTGTTTTTCATTCCATCTGTACCTCCTTCTACCTGCTCCTTTTAACAAAATTGCTATTCTTACTTCTACTGTGTTCTTGAAGTCAGTGTGATCTCCAGCACCAGGCTGTTTGTGGTGAGGAGATTGTTTGTCCAGGCCATGTGCATTGGTCTGTCTTTTCCACTCTCTTCTGGCAATCCTAGTTCAATTGGCTTAAAGAGGCACTAAATAGTTCACTGAAACTTTTTTTTTTAAATTCCCTTGGCTCTGGCATTGTTTTTCCAAATCTTTCTTGTGCCATGTAACTTCAGCTCCTAAATTGTGACTCATAAAGGGATGGATGAATGCTTGTTTGCTTTGCTTCCTGTGTGGGGGTGTGTTGTGGGTTTGTTTATTTGTGTTCTTACGGTTAGTATCAAAGTGTGTGCCTGTGTGTCTTGTCTGAAACCTGGGTGCAGCAGTAAGGCTTTGTATATTCTAGAACACAAGCCAAAACGACCCTAAAGCTTGTTTGCTTTTCCTCTTGGCAGATGCTCTATGTGACAGTTTGAACAGAGGCAGATTCCTGTCATAGCGAATTCTAAATGTCTGTTAATGACTAACAAATGTCTGATTTCTCGTTCTTGATCTCTGGGTGCACGCAGTGTATGTGTAACAGAGAGACATGCTGCAGTGCTTGATTCAGCTTCCTCTGCCCCCAGAGCTTGCACTGCTCTAACTTACTGTTACTCTGTCCCTGGAGCAGTGGAGGTACTCAGGCTGCACGTTCCAGGTTGATGACAATACATTTCTCTGGGATGCTGTGGGATCCTTTGCCACACTAGAGGCTCAATTGTTTATAACATTACAAGGCACAGCACAATTACTGTTGTAACTTCCCTGCAACAAGTACATCTGAGTCAAAGGAAGGATAGTCAACAACATGCTTATGTATGAAAATGTTACCTGCTGCATAAATATCATGTATCAATGCCAAGGGAAGCAGCTGTAGCTGTGGAGGATTGCTTTTGCTGCCAGCTCCCCAGTGTCCCACAGGAAGGTAAAGTGTCACTGTGCAAGGCAGGCCAGCCCAGGGCTGGCTTCCCAGGGCTCTCCACCCACCCAAGCCATCCTGGTAAGAAATGGGAAGAGCCTTCCCCAATGTGCAGAAACACTGGAGAACTCTTATGCTCAAAAATACAGAAATACATGCTCTGCTGTAGTCAGAGGGAGGGAGTGGGTATCCTGCATTTTGTGCTATGTCAGTCCAGGGGCTTCCAGGTGAGCAGTCCTTAGCTGGTCTTTTTCTGTGTCAGTGCATCAAAACTTGAGTTCCTCAAAGAATACCTGTGCCATGCCTCCCTTTTTCCTGGATAATGTACTGCTGAGTTTCACAATGGCTTTAAAATTCAATTAAAAAAAAAATAATAAAATAAGCCCTAGGTGTAAACTAGACCTGCTCTTCCTGTGCACCAATATGTTCTCCTTACAAGCATATACCTCTTGACATCTTGTTTTCATTATGGGGCCATTATGTGTTAGTTCATTGATAATGCACAATGTTTTAATGTGGCTATTAATTAATATTGTCCAATAAAATATAGTTAAGAAATCCAGTTATTTGGAAGGACAGAGCAAAATGGGAAGTGGGCTTACCTGGTAGAGAAAAAGGTTTTAGCCTCTGGACATATTCAGGTTTGGGGAAATGGAGTTTGGAATGTAAGAGACTGTCCTTGAAATTAAACCATGATTTTTGTACAGGGTGTGCTCCAGTAGCTTCATAATATAGCTATAGCTTGTACTTGCAGCTTATGGAGGGCTTTCTGAGTGACAGATTAATTCAGTTTAGACCATTTGAGTTCTGAAGGCTATGTGCTGACTCTAGCCCCTTAACACAGTATTGATTTATTACCCATACTCTAGTAATGCTGCAGAGCTGGGAAGCCAGAGACTGTGGATTGTGTTCCCAGCATACTACCACTAATATACTCTATAGATTCTGTGAAACAACTTTAGCTGTGCTTTGGGAAATGGAATGATACTTTTCTGCAGGTCCAGAATTGCTTGTAATTCAGTAGCTTTCTGTGGTGGTCAGTTATTGACTGTTCTGCCTGTTGAACATCAAGTTTTATTTCTTGATAATAAATATTCTTATGTCTGATGTCAACACATCATGCTTAGCCAAGATGATATTTCTACCTCTTTCTATTACTGACATGTATATTTTAGCCTGAATGTACAGGAAAGCATGGTAGCATTTGATTGCCTGGGTTGGCTTTTTTGTCTGCTTTGAGTAAAACTCAAACTTTGAGTCTTGATTGATTTTCACATTCTTCTAATAATTTGTACTCATTTTCCAGTTTGAAGATCTGAACACAGTGGCTGAATGTCTGTTTTCTTTGGTCAATGGTGATGACATGTTTGCAACATTTGCTCAAATCCAACAGAAGAGCTCGCTGGTGTGGATGTTCAGCCGATTATATCTGTACTCCTTCATTAGTCTGTTTATATACATGATCCTCAGCCTTTTTATTGCACTCATTACTGACTCCTATGACACCATAAAGGTAAAGCATTTGTTTTCTGTTACACTTGTAATCAGTTTTGTATTCATTCTTGTTAATCACTCAGCATCATACCATCTACTGTTGGTTCTGATGTGTGATAAGATTATTAAAATCTTTTAGTTTAGTCTGTGGCGAAATTGGAAGGGTGGCTGGGTTTGCTGACATCTCAGAGACGTGCCTTTGGCAGGAGTTTGGAACAGTTCAAGCAGATAACTCTAAAGTCATTTAGGTGTCCAGGCCTCCTTAATGTGCTGCTTGGAAACGTGTGATTAAAAGGAAATGTCTTCTGAGAGATGCACCGCTTCTTGTTCCAGTTAAAATTGTGCCACCCGTTTCCAGTATGGACTGTTTGAAAGTGAAAATCTTTTGGTAATTACTTTCTGTTCTTGATCTCAAGATCAGGATCATGCCCTTTGTGCTCCTGGCAGCCTCAGTGACCAGTGGGAAGGCAATGTGGATCACATCCTTCAGGCCTCATCTCTTTCTTGTCTTGGTGTCAAATACAGGCCAGCAGAATAAGGCTGGTCTGACCTGAACTACAGCTTCCAGATTGAGGAAGAGCTTCACTTTTGAAGCACCTCAAAATATAACTTAATTGTCTGCTCTTCTTAGTTTACTGGATGGTCTGATCTGCAAAACGGTGTTTTACTGACTCTTCCCTCTGAGCATTTCCCATAGATCAACTGGAAGTTGTTTCAGTATGCTGAATTTGTTTTTGTCATAGCATTTCTTCAGCATGGCAATGTTGAATAGTCACACCCTTCAAATCCAGAATTAGAGTTCTTAGGGAAAAGGAGCCCAAGGCACTTGCAGTGAGCACAGCAGCTCACTGTGGACAAGGGAGAACTGATACCAGTATGACCTGAGATCACTTGCTTGGCCCTATGGGCAGCAAACAAAACATAAGAGAATCTGTGAACAATGTAAATTTTCTGTCACTTACATTGTTGGTGGAACAAAGCAAGCTATGTAGTGTTTCTAGGATGGGAATGGGTTTTTTCCTTCCTACATACAATATTGAATTACTGAACCAAATAAGCTGGTTTAACTGTCACACTCTAGAGGAAATTTTAGAATGTTTAATGCCCTGTAACTTTTCATGTGTTGTAAATGAAATACTTTTTCTTTCAGAAATACCAACAAAGTGGTTTTCCAGTAACAGATTTACATGAATTTCTAAAAGACCATAGCAGTGCTGGCTACAGAAAAGACAGAACTTCTTTTCCATTCATCTGCTGCTGCAAGAGGTCAGTAGAGTGCTTTTAATGAGTGTTTTGCTGAGAAGTACAACAGTTAGCTTCTCACTGCAAAATGCTGCATCACAAATGCTGAAGTATCCAGAATTCAGTCTGTGTAATATTTGGGCGCTGTTGTTCCTCTTGTCCTTCAATTCATGTTAGATCTTCAGTCAGCTGATGATGCAAAGGCAGCAGTTCTGAGCTTAAATATGTTTTAACTGTTATAGTCTTATGAAAACTGCAATGCAGAAGCTGATGGGAGGACTGTGGAGTACAGCATGAAACTACCAAGGGCTCTGGAGCAAACCAAGTCTTTGCTTCAAGGTGTCTCATTCTAAAAACTTTACTACTATGCTTGGAGTTGTTACAGAAAGTGAGAGGGTGATTCAGTCAGAGGTTGGTGCTTAATCCCAAAACCATGCTGTGTCTGAGGCAAACTGTTTGAATACCATCTTCCAGAATATTGGAAATACACCGGTAAATGTCTTTTAGGCATTGTGGCATTGGTCCTTTTTAAACTGGTGGTGAGAGATGAGCATCTCATCTGGTGCTTGCTAGTCGTAGAGCTTATTCTTTGAATTCTGTTTCTGAGGCAACATAACACACTTCTGAAGCCCTGTTAGATACATTAGGGATCTTGTCACTGTCCCTAGGCAGTCCAGGATAATCCATCCATGTGCAGAGAATAGTTGTGGGCACTGGGCAAGGAAGCCAGGCTGTGGGAGAAAGAACAGACCAAAATGTGAACACTTACATACTGATGCTTTTGTGAAATGAAATTTTATGCTTTTCCTGTACCCTGGCAGAGGGGGACCTACCCTAGGCAAAAAAGGAACATGTGAGATAATGATGGGCAGGTATCTCAGTGGTTGCTGGGGGCACATGAAAACCAACTAGTTAACAAGAATTCCAGCCAGCCCCAGCTTCAGGCTTCACCTGCAAGTCACTGTGCAGAATAAGAGATTAGTGTGCTTGAGCATAATAAATATACACCATAATTTGCTGTGCAGTACTGAGGGCACAAGCCTGGTACTAGGAGTGAAAATCTAGAGCTTTTGCTACTGTAGCAGTTTTTGCATCATTGTCCAGTGCAGGCATTGGGGTTGTATGTGGAAATGGGAGATCAGAGAACAGAAGGATCAAAACTGAGCTCATATGGATAGATGCTGCCTATCGCATTTCTTGCTGAATGGAGAATTGTGAATTTTTTCTTTGCAGACAACAGAGTGATGACAACTTGATACTTATTAATTGATGGCTACACATTTGAAAATCACCACTGATATATGCAAAGAAAGCATAGTGGTATGGAGAAGGATAATTCTCCAAATTGCAGTGGAACCTGCCATCTGGATCTGCCTCATGAACAGAATTGTCTTAGCTAATTAAGGTTTTTGGGGAAAAAAGCTATTAATGTGACAGCAGCTGGCTGACCAACAGGAGTCCTAGAAGTCTGGAAGAGAGCTGTGAAGAGTTCTGTATTCTTGCCTCATGTTCTGTCATGTTAGAGAAGACTGATCCTTGAGCATTGTCTGTGGAAGCTCTGTTTGCTAATAACCTTGAGGAGGAAGGAAAATGGCCTTGAATTAACTGTTCTTGTTAATAAGAAAAAGAATTATACTAAAATGATTTTAAAAAAATAATCCTGTGTTTAAAAGTATTAAATAAAAAGAAGTCAAGAAGGGAGTAGTTTTTCACTTTATGCATTCAGCCTGTCATTTCTACTTGGCACATTAAATTTATTTGAATTTAATTTATGTAAAACTAAAAAGCTGCACAAAAGTGGAAAGTAATTGCTGTTTTCCCTCTTGTATATCATTTTAACACAAACCACTTATAGGTCACAGTCTTTCCTTTAACAGCTTTACTAAAAAGCACTTTGTTATCTTTTTCTCTTTTTTGACTTTTCTATTATACCTACAATATTGATTTGTACTGTGTCCAGATTAAACTTACTGCTTTAGATATAGTTAAATACTTTTTTGCATGGTTGGAAACTTTCATGGTAAGAATTATCTGAAGGCTACTGGAAAGTTTGGGGGTTTTTTTGGTAGCATTATACTGTAGTATTGACATAATCCAGAGGACAAACTCAGGCAGAAAACAGTGCCATGGAATTTACTTCTATTTCAAGCACATATTAATTGGAAGAAAGTAAGTAGCAAGTGAGTCTTGCAGTTGGTTTGTTCAGGTGACTTTCTAGCTGTCTTTGGGATGGTCAGCAATGAAGACAGTACTTTCCCCTTGCCTCTTCATAAACTTTTTTCAGTGAGAAGAGAGGACTTTGGGGAACTTAAAAGCACTTCCAGGATAATAGTGCATAAATGTTAACCTGGTATTTCTGAAAACTTTCAGGAGTACTGACAGTTCCTGGGGTGGGTGTACTATTATATTAGATGCCCCACTTTTGTCTCTCCAGTATTTGCTCTGTAAAAAAAACCACTCTTCAGTAGATTGTGTCAGTGTTTTGGCCAGGACTTGGTGTGTTCCTAACTACTAATGGTGTTCTCTGCAAGTTCTGGCTTTTTAGTGTTTCAAATGGCAAAGGCAATTCAAAATGCTGCCCTGGTGAGTGGCAGCTTTTTTATTTTTTCCCCTTTTTAAAATGGTTTATTCTAACCTCCTGCTTAGTGTTTACCTTTGTAACAAACTTTTGTTGTTGAAAGTGAATGCCATTTTGCCTTGCTTAGGCTGCAGCTAGGTGTCTAGAACAGATTTTTTGGTGTCAGGATTTTGATGCATCCAGGCTCTGCACATTTTAATGCTTCTATTGCTGAAGTGTATTTGGGACAGTGAATTTTTTTCCCATCCCTCTCTATGCAATGTGTTACTGTGGCCTAATCTCACTACAGCTTGTGAGAACTTTTTATTATATATATTATATATAAATTGCTACCACTAACCAAGCCACTGTGCTTTTAGCAAAGTTTTTCTGTAATTGTCTTTTCATCAATTGTGTGATCTAGAACAGAGCATTACTGTCTCCCACTGTCAATAGAAGAGTCAACTTTTATCCTGGTGTTAATCTGCAGAACTTGTTTGGGGGAATTTGGTCTTTTGGTGTATTTTGTGTATATTTTGGTGGGTTTGGTGTATGCTCTGGGGCTCTGGATAACCCAAAAACTTTTCTGTAGACTGCAGAAGGATCAGCATTAACTGATTGCTAAGGTGCCCTGTCCCTTAGAATGTGCAATCTACTTGGTTATGTACAAGATGATGGTGTCTTCTGAATTTGCTTCTATTTTACTGGTTAGCTTTCTGGAGTGCCTCTTTCTAAATCAAACAGTTCCATCATGTCTGAAAATTAACTGTGTTTTTCTTACTGTTCTTCCCTCTGCCAGTACTTAAATCTTGGGCTAGAGACTGCAACCTAGCAAAAGCAGATACTGAAGTATATGTGTGGATAACTAGTGGTGTGATGTGTGAAACAGGCTCATCATCATCTCCAGAGATGTCTCTCTTCCCTGCAGCAGGTGAGGTGCCTCCCCTACCCCTGACACAGAGCCATGGGGCAGAAGCGGAGGCTCCTCATTACAGCTCCAACTCTTTCTTAATGTCACCTACCAAAACCATTGCTCAGATAAATACATGTTGGTGAGAGAACCCCTCAGGGAATGAGGGACAGCATTATCAACAAAAGGAATGCAGGGAATACTTAATATTTCTTAACTATTTTTAAGACTTAATTTCTGTAATGGAATCATAAAGCTTTCTTGTCCAGTATTGATTCTTTTTATGGTTTAAATCATATTAAATTCTTGCTAGCTAGACTGCTGCTTCAGCCCTACCATATTAGAACAGGTCACTAATGTGCTGTATAAACCAATTTTTATCTCCACCATGTGGTGTTCTTTTTTTTTTTTTTTTCCCTCTTGGAAAAAAAGATAAGAGAAACTTGCTGAAGGCTATTACTGGCTCTCTATTCCACAGAGGTGAAACTTAACAGGAAATATGGCATATGTTGACTCTGAATTCTGCACATTAATACAGATTTGAGCACAGTTGCTGACTGATAGGTGGTCCCACACCAGCTGCTAAAGAGGTGATGCACAGTCTTGGAAGCAGAACTGGAGCATAAACTTCTGCAAAGTGCTTTGAAAAGGGGCTGTTTCCTTTCATAGTCTTATTCTCTGGGAATAAGAAGCTTTTGTTAATTGCTTATAGGACTTAACAAAAGGAGGGTAGAAATGGATGAGACAGTGTATTAGAAAGACATGGACAGGAAGGAAGAGAAGAAAATTTCCTGAGCCATCTTCAAGGTGAGCAATCAAGTGAGGGGAACAGGGTCAATAAGAATCGGCTCTTATTCTGAGGTGGGGTTTTTTTGTTGTTGTTTTGGTGTTTTTTGTTTTTGTTTTTTTGTTAAAAAAAATGGAATGGAGTCTGGCATTTCATATATAGTGTTAATGTGCAAGGCTGTACCTAGGGTGTTAAAAGCCTAAGTTTTATGCTGTAATTGTTACCAAGATTTCTGAGAAGTGGGGCAGGGATCTTCTGCTGAGATTTTCTTTTGTCAGCTGTTCAGCTGTGAGCAGACCCGTGCCTAGGTCTGCTGTATGGGGACATATAACCTGGCCTCTGTAAGCGGTTCAGGTAGGTTGCAGTAGCTCAGATCCATTTGATCACAGGCTTCAGAAAGATTTGGTTTTGTACTACCATCTACTTTTGAGTTTGACTTGTCTTTGATTGCAAAGCTGTGTGTGCTCAGTCCTGCCCCTTGGAGGTGCCATGAGCCGCCAAGTTTCCGTATCACACCGTTGGGTGTGAAGTGGTTCTTGTTTGCTTTTTACACTGTTTCACAGAACAGCTACGTGTGGTGCTCTAACTGTGTGTACTGGCCGGATCTATTCGCAGAAGTTATTGCAATTGTATCTGGCTTTTTGCATTTGTTTCCTAATCTGTGAATGATGATGGACTTCTGATGGGCTTTTCGGGCAGCACAGCCCTTTAGACTTGTGCAGCTTTCGTTCGGGGGTCCCGCTAGCGTTCTCCACAGCTGCCTGTGCCAGGGGCGAGCCAAACCTTGGCCCTGGGCTGGAAACAAAGCCCTGGGCGAGTTCTCCCGTTCGCTGGGCGCAGGTCGGGGGCAGGTGCGGGGCGGGGCGGGGCTGGGGTGGAGCGGGGAGCGGAGCGGGGCGGG